TGTGTTTTTATACATATATTTTTTATACAAATCAAAGTTTAAATTAAAAAAGTTTAATTAAAAACTGTGTTAGTTTTGATGAGGTTAATAAATCTGCATACCAAATTTAAAATGTTAAAAAATGAAATTTTTTGTCAATTTTCGAGAATTTTAATGATGTAACCCCTTTTAAAATTCTCAAAAATTGGCTAAAATTTTCAAAAAAAATTTTCATGTTATTTTGTTACTTAATAACTAGGATTTTCATGGCGAATCGAAGAGTATACGAATTTTGGCAGTCTTGGGCTTTTTGACCATTTTATGGCGTTCAGAAAATGGGCAAATTTGCATTTTTCCATAGAAATTCACGTTTCTTGTTCTATATTATTTTTCAAACAAATCAAAGTTTTATTTCTCAACTTTCTGCTATTAACAAACAATCATTTTAATGAGGAATCGGAGAGTATACGAATTTTGGCAATCATAGGCTCTTTGCCCATTTTATAGCGTTCAGAAAATGGGCAAATTAGCACTTTTTCATGGATATTTACATGTGTTTTTATACATATATTTTTTATACAAATCAAAGTTTAAAAATTCCATAACTAAGCCAAAAATGCATTAATTTCAAATCGGAAAGCTGTCCTGTGTTAGTTTTGATGAGGTTAATAAATCTGCATACCAAATTTAAAATGTTAAAAAATTAAATTTTTTGTCAATTTTCGAGAATTTTAATGATGTAACCCCTTTTAAAATTCTCAAAAATTGGCTAAAATTTTCAAAAAAAATTTTCATGTGATTTTGTTACTTAATAACTAGGATTTTCATGGCGAATCGAAGAGTATACGAATTTTGGCAGTCTTGGGCTTTTTGACCATTTTATGGCGTTCAGAAAATGGGCAAATTTGCATTTTTCCATAGAAATTTACGTTTCTTGTTCTATATTATTTTTCATACAAATCAAAGTTTTATTTTTCAACTTTCTGCTATTAACTAACAACTACTTTAATGGCGAATCGGAGAGTATACGAATTTTGGCAATCATAGGCTCTTTGCCCATTTTATAGCGTTCAGAAAATGGGCAAATTAGCACTTTTTCATGGATATTTACATGTGTTTTTATACATATATTTTTTATACAAATCAAAGTTTAAAAATTCCATAACTAAGCCAAAAATGCATTAATTTCAAATCGGAAAGCTGTCCTGTGTTAGTTTTGATGAGGTTAATAAATCTGCATACCAAATTTAAAATGTTAAAAAATTAAATTTTTTGTCAATTTTCGAGAATTTTAATGATGTAACCCCTTTTAAAATTCTCAAAAATTGGCTAAAATTTTCAAAAAAAATTTTCATGTGATTTTGTTACTTAATAACTAGGATTTTCATGGCGAATCGAAGAGTATACGAATTTTGGCAGTCTTGGGCTTTTTGACCATTTTATGGCGTTCAGAAAATGGGCAAATTTGCATTTTTCCATAGAAATTTACGTTTCTTGTTCTATATTATTTTTCATACAAATCAAAGTTTTATTTCTCAACTTTCTTCTATTAACAAACAATCATTTTAATGACGAATCGGAGAGTATACGAATTTTGGCAATCATAGGCTCTTTGCCCATTTTATAGCGTTCAGAAAATGGGCAAATTAGCACTTTTTCATGGATATTTACATGTGTTTTTATACATATATTTTTATACAAATCAAAGTTTAAAAATTCCATAACTAAGCCAAAAATGCATTAATTTCAAATCGGAAAGCTGTCCTGTGTTAGTTTTGATGAGGTTAATAAATCTGCATACCAAATTTAAAATGTTAAAAAATTAAATTTTTGTCAATTTTCGAGAATTTTAATGATGTAACCCCTTTTAAAATTCTCAAAAATTGGCTAAAATTTTCAAAAAAAATTTTCATGCGATTTTGTTACTTAATAACTAGGATTTTCATGGCGAATCGAAGAGTATACGAATTTTGGCAGTCTTGGGCTTTTTGACCATTTTATGGCGTTCAGAAAATGGGCAAATTTGCATTTTTCCATAGAAATTTACGTTTCTTGTTCTATATTATTTTTCATACAAATCAAAGTTTTATTTCTCAACTTTCTTCTATTAACAAACAATCATTTTAATGACGAATCGGAGAGTATACGAATTTTGGCAATCATAGGCTCTTTGCCCATTTTATAGCGTTCAGAAAATGGGCAAATTAGCACTTTTTCATGGATATTTACATGTGTTTTTATACATATATTTTTTATACAAATCAAAGTTTAAAAATTCCATAACTAAGCCAAAAATGCATTAATTTCAAATCGGAAAGCTGTCCTGTGTTAGTTTTGATGAGGTTAATAAATCTGCATACCAAATTTAAAATGTTAAAAAATGAAATTTTTTGTCAATTTTCGAGAATTTTAATGATGTAACCCCTTTTAAAATTCTCAAAAATTGGCTAAAATTTTCAAAAAAAATTTTCATGTTATTTTGTTACTTAATAACTAGGATTTTCATGGCGAATCGAAGAGTATACGAATTTTGGCAGTCTTGGGCTTTTTGACCATTTTATGGCGTTCAGAAAATGGGCAAATTTGCATTTTTCCATAGAAATTCACGTTTCTTGTTCTATATTATTTTTCAAACAAATCAAAGTTTTATTTCTCAACTTTCTGCTATTAACAAACAATCATTTTAATGAGGAATCGGAGAGTATACGAATTTTGGCAATCATAGGCTCTTTGCCCATTTTATAGCGTTCAGAAAACGGACAAATTAGCACTTTTTCATGGATATTTACATGTGTTTTTATACATATATTATTTTTATACAAATCAAAGTTTAAAAATTCCATAACTAAGCCAAAAATGCATTAATTTCAAATCGGAAAGCTGTCCTGTGTTAGTTTTGATGAGGTTAATAAATCTGCATACCAAATTTAAAATGTTAAAAAATGAAATTTTTTGTCAATTTTCGAGAATTTTAATGATGTAACCCCTTTTAAAATTCTCAAAAATTGGCTAAAATTTTCAAAAATTTGTTTCTAGTGTTTTTGTTACTAAATAACTAAGATTTTCATGGCGAATCGAAGAGTATACGAATTTTGGCAGTCTTGGGCTTTTGGCCATTTGATGGCGTTCAGAAAATGGGCAAATTTGCATTTTTCCATAGAAATTTACGTTTCTTGTTCTACATTATTTTTCAAACAAATCAAAGTTTTATTTCTTAACTTTCTTCTATTAACTAACAACTATTTTAATGGCGAATCGGAGAGTATACGAATTTTGGCAATCATAGGCTTTTTGTCCATTTTATAGCGTTCAGAAAATGGGCAAATTAGCACTTTTTCATGGATATTTACATGTGTTTTTATACATATATTATTTTTTATACAAATCAAAGTTTAAAAATTCCATAACTAAGCCAAAAATGCATTAATTTCAAATCGGAAAGCTGTCCTGTGTTAGTTTTGATGAGGTTAATAAATCTGCATACCAAATTTAAAATGTTAAAAAATGAAATTTTTTGTCAATTTTCGAGAATTTTAATGATGTAACCCCTTTTAAAATTCTCAAAAATTGGCTAAAATTTTCAAAAATTTGTTTCTAGTGTTTTTGTTACTAAATAACTAAGATTTTCATGGCGAATCGAAGAGTATACGAATTTTGGCAGTCTTGGGCTTTTTGGCCATTTGATGGCGTTCAGAAAATGGGCAAATTTGCATTTTTCCATAGAAATTTACGTTTCTTGTTCTACATTATTTTTCAAACAAATCAAAGTTTTATTTCTTAACTTTCTTCTATTAACTAACAACTATTTTAATGGCGAATCGGAGAGTATACGAATTTTGGCAATCATAGGCTTTTTGTCCATTTTATAGCGTTCAGAAAATGGGCAAATTAGCACTTTTTCATGGATATTTACATGTGTTTTTATACATATATTATTTTTTATACAAATCAAAGTTTAAAAATTCCATAACTAAGCCAAAAATGCATTAATTTCAAATCGGAAAGCTGTCCTGTGTTAGTTTTGATGAGGTTAATAAATCTGCATACCAAATTTAAAATGTTAAAAAAATGAAATTTTTGTCAATTTTCGAGAATTTTAATGATGTAACCCCTTTTAAAATTCTCAAAAATTGGCTAAAATTTTCAAAAATTTGTTTCTTGTGTTTTTGTTACTAAATAACTAGGATTTTCATTGCGAATCGAAGAGTATACGAATTTTGGCAGTCTTGGGCTTATTGACCATTTTATGGCGTTCAGAAAATGGCCAAATTTGCATTTTTCCATAGAAATTTAAGTTTGTTGTTCTACATTATTTTTCAAACAAATCAAAGTTTTATTTCTCAACTTTCTGCTATTAACTAACAATCATTTTAATGACGAATCGGAGAGTATACGAATTTTGGCAATCATAGGCTCTTTGCCCATTTTATAGCGTTCAGAAAACGGGAAAATTAGCACTTTTTCATGGATATTTACATGTGTTTTTATACATATATTATTTTTTATACAAATCAAAGTTTAAAAATTCCATAACTAAGCCAAAAATGCATTAATTTCAAATCGGAAAGCTGTCCTGTGTTAGTTTTGATGAGGTTAATAAATCTGCATACCAAATTTAAAATGTTAAAAAATAAAATTTTTTGTCAATTTTCGAGAATTTTAATGATGTAACCCCTTATAAAATTTTGAAAATTTTGAAAAAGTTGAGAAAATTCTTTTATTCTTCCGAACATGTTTAAATCGACTCGGCTGTTGATGCTTATCAAGAATATATATGATTTATAAGGCTGGAAATGATTCATTTTTTCATTTGAAAGCTTCTGACTTAAATTTTAATACCATGTAAAATAAATAATGATATAAATCGGATTTTGTGTCTTCATAGGTTTTGCAAATACTTAAGCAAATTTGTATATAAAAATTAAATCCCTTCATCAACTTATAAAACTAGACAGATAATGAAAAGCGAAACGCTCTCTCTCCCATCATAGACTAACTCGTTTTCGTTGTTTCATTTACAGTGCCGCCAAAGGCTGGACAAAAGCGACCAGCCACCAGCCCGGCGCCGCATATTCCAGTGCCGCACCACCTGCAGACGCCTCCTGGTGGCGGCGGTGGTGGTGGTGGCGGCGGTGTGCCTGGATCCACGGTGGCCAGCAGTCCGGCGCCCACGTCGGCCGGCAGCAATGCCCTGCTGAACCATGCCCTGCCCAGCAACCACATTGGCACCCCGTCGCCGCAGCATTCCCACCAGCAACACCAGCAGGCACAGCAGCAGCACCAGGCCCAGCAGCAGGCTGTGGCCGCTGCAGTGCAGCAGCAGCTGGCAGCTGGCGTGGGTCTGCCCCCAGGAGCCATCGGTGCCGCATCGGCGGCCAGTAGTCGTGGCTCCTTTGCCGCCGCACTGCGTACGCTGGCCAAGCAGGCGGACAACAAAGAGGACGATGTGGGTGGGGACAGGAGTGTGCCCACTTCAGGAGCAGGCGGACCACCGCCATCGGCGGGTCCAGGACCGCTGAATTCTGTGGCGGGACGTGTGGGTTCCGAGCGGCCTGGCGAGGATAGAGTGGCCAGTAGCAAGAAGCGCTCACCGCCCTCGCCCCAGCCCCCGGAGAAGATAGCCCGACTGAGTCACACGCCGCAAACGGCATCGCTGCAGCCAGAGCTTCTGGCCAGAAGCGGATTCCAGCCGTACAGATCGGACGAGCGACTGATGCATCCGGCGGGCGCCTTTCCCCTGGAGGCCTACTCGCACTTTGCGGGTCTGCCCGGGATTCCACCAGCAGGTAAGCTGGAGTGATACAATTGAGAATAATAAAAGGCTAATTACTTATACTATTTGCAGCTTTCCTTAACCCCGCTGGACTGCCGTACACGGAGCAGCTGTACCTGGAGCATCGCTACCAACTGTTCCGTGCCGCTAGTGCCCATCCTTCGCATCCGCATGCGGCCGCACTGTATCCACAAATGGCCTCGCCCTACTCCCACCTCTATTCGATGATGCCGGGAGCAGCACTGGGCATCTCACCGGCCATGCACGACCGGATCAAGCTGGAGGAGGAGCATCGAGCTCGATTGGCGCGAGAGGAGGAGCGCGAGCGGGAAATGCAGCGGGAGAAGGAGCGAGAGTTGCGCGAGCAGCGAGAGAAGGAGCAGCGGGAGAAGGAGCAGCGCGAAAAGGAGCAACGCGAGCGGGAGCGAGAGCAGCGTGAGAAGGAGCAGCGGGAGAAGGAGGCACGGGAGCGGAAGCTTCGCGATGAGGAACGTGAACGGGAGCGGGAGCGTCAGCAACTGCTAAACGCCTCTCACCATTACTCCAATCAGCTGTACTCGCCTCTGAACAGAAACCTCCTCGGCTCCATGATTCCCCACATCAATCTTAGCCTGCGTGGACCGCCAGGAGCTCTGCACGGCCTGCCAGGAATGTCGCACTACCATGCGGCGGCGGCCAACGCCCAGCGCCAGAGTCCGCATGCCGCCATGGGTCTCAACCTAGGCATGGCAGGGCTTCAAGGCGTGGGCGTCTCCCCACTTGGGGGCCACGGACCGCCCAATCTGCAGCACCACTTACAGCAGGCGGCCATGGGTCTAGCTCACCCGGGGGCTGCTGGCCTCACGCATCCCGGTTTCTCGGCAGCCGCCCTTGGGCTAAGTGCTCATCCCCACAGCTTGAACCTCAGTCATCCGCACATGTCACCGCATCATCCCGCCTCGCTGGCCGCCCACCAGCTGCCGCCACACACTTCGACGGCAGGCGGGGGAGGGCTTAGCAACTCCATTCCTGTGACAGCCAGCTCCAGTCTATCGGTGTCCTCGCCCCACAGCAGCCTCAACCTTACGTCGGCCGTAAAGCTCAATTCGGAGCAGGTGCCCACCTCGACGCCCAGCGGTGTCAGTGGGAGCGGCCTGCCGCCCACCACCTCCAGCTCGCACATTCCCAGCATGGGCCACTACTACCACCATGGCCACCTGGCGGCCATGCATGCAGCAGCGGCAGCCGCCAGCGGAATGACCCCCACGGCAGCCCATCAGCAGCAGCCGCTCTCGCTGCCCAGCTCACCCAAGATCACGCCGCCCATCACTCCGTCTGCGTCGGCGAATGGTGGGCGGGCGGGCGGTAGTCCGCATGCCATGAGGCATCATATTGCTGCTGCAGTGGCAGCAGCTGCTCAACAATCGGCTCTGATAGACAAGGCTGCCACGCCGGTCACCCATGAGCCGGCCACCTTGGACCTCACCGGATCCAACTCGAATTCGAGTAACCAGGCTCCATCGAATGCCAGCAGTGGCCAGCCAGTGAATCACGAACTGAACGGCGCCGAGTCCAATGGGGCTTCCCAGGGGGATAGCAAGGAGCAGGTGACCGCCATCAAGGAGGATCCGCTCAAGAGCTCGCCACCACCAGTGGTGCTCGAAAAGAAGCCGGCCACGCCGAATGCAGCTCCGGAGAAGCCCATCCATCCGGATAGTTCGCCGGAGCACTCGTCCCGACGCAGTGCCAGTCCACAGTCGGAGACAAACAACTCGCTGCCAGCGGCAAGCGCTGCGGTAGCATCAGGTAAATGCAAAGAGGAGCCCCAAAGATTCTAGACTCGGACACGACCGCCACACTGCCCAAGACAGATGTAGCTGCAGAGCCGGAGGAGAAGCAGCGCACGCGGCTATCCGTGTCGCCGTCACCAGCACCCCCTAAGACCATGGGTGTCGCTTCACCCGACACGGTGTCCACCTCCGGTGGGGTTACATCCACCACAAGTGGCACCACACCGCCGCCAGTGGTTAGCAGCAGCACTAGCAGCGCCACCAAGGGGCTACCGGCGGTGACCAGCGATGAGGTATCCACTAGTGCCGCCACGCCCACTGCCGAGCCCACCAGATGATCGAACCCCTGGCGGGAGTGGGTCTCCCAGTGGAGCGGAGTTACGTTTAGGTTTAAGTTTGGAGAAGAAGAGTCGCCTCGGATCGAAACTAGTTAACATCTACCTTCAGTAACATTTAACTAAGCGATAATTTAGTTGTTAGTCGAGCGTCTTTATTTATACAAGAATTTGTAATGTATTGCCAGCCAGCGCCGCTTAGATCCAATTCTAAATGTTTTAATCCCTAGTTACTATTATTATTTGCCCTATTTAATTGTGAAACGTATAATTTTAGAGATGGCCTGAATAAATCATTTTCTGTTTACCATTCACCTTATTATTTTCATTTGATTTGGTTTTGTTTGAAGCTTTTGGCAGCGTTATATAGAGAAAGGAAAAGACCAATATGTCTTTCTTCTTTCTTGTCCCATTAAGGTAGATAAAAGAACATTCTTCAAGGAGGTTATATTGACACACTAAAACTAACAATCTGCTCGTATCTTTCAGATGACAACAAGCCGCAAATGGGAGTACTGGGTCGCAGCAATAGCGCGGAGGAGGCCACAGCATTATGACACCAACTCTTCACTAATTCGAACAACTAACTAATGAAAAACTACGGCGACATTGGGATGTACTTGCTGTCGGAACGAGCACTCCATCAGCAGCGGAAGCGGATGCTCGACGAGTTCCTGAAGCTCTAGGAACACACCAATAGGCCCATAGATTATGTAAATTCCATAACAGATAACAGACTACAGATTACAGATCAGATATCAGATATTTGTTCGTTCTCGGTGTGTTACAATCTCTAACGTGTTTACCCAACCAAACAGTTGAATCCAATTCCAACGCAATTAGACATTTTGAATTTGAATTGGTGTAAGGAAATCGTATCTGCATAAAATGTAAATTATTGTGACATATTCCAAGTATATAAAATAACAATTGCTCTCTCGAAGGTAAAGCTATTCATAAGGATTTTAGGTATACACATACTTGCATAGAACTCTGAGTGTAGTTTTCGTGTGGAATAAAATGTTCATTGCCCGAGCAACTTAATGTTAGTTGTAAAGTTAGACTAAACTTCTGCTAAGAAATTTATATATATACAACAGAAACAGAAATTATACAAGACATACTGGGTAGCTATATTTTATTCTTAAATTGCTAATTGCTAATAATTGTGATTTGGAGAGTACGAAACAAACGAAAACAAAAACAAACTCGGAGAACGTATGAACATGTAACTCGAATACAAAGTGGGGAAAAACGGAACTGAAATTTAGATAACAAATCAAATCAAAACCTAGAGAGATATTCTGGAATGGATTAGAAGGATCGCGAATTATTTTTCGAAATTAAACAATTTTTGTACGCCACCCTTTGGCCCTTAAGTGCATTTCGGTTCGGTTTTTTGTGATTTTGAATCTTCAGACAAGACACGAAAACAAACAAACAGACAGACATACATACATGCTAGCCAATGCAGATGTAACCACACACTATAATTGATGTTTATAGTAAGTAGTCAATACAACATACCTTTAAAACCAAGCAAGCTCTCAAAGATATAGATCTAGTTTTCCTTCCCGTTTCCAGTCTTTGCCCCTCCTCTATCTTGTATCTTCGTTTGAGATTGCCTAACATTCGACGACAATGTGTGTGTGAAGTAAAACGGTTTAAATATATATTTTAATGCATAAATCTCGAGCAATCTGTGATATTATAATGAGAAAATTGATAACCAAACCAAAAACTTGAAAAAGAAAAGCAACATTGCGTATGAGCCTCAAGCTAAAAAAGCCATTTGAGACCCAATACTATGGATTCTTTTCGTTATCGAAGCAGACGAAATGTTTTGATTACAATTCCGTACAAATTCCGCCATATGCAAGTCAGACATTTCCTTTGGACAAAACTATGTGTAACGTACCAGTAAAACTGAAAAAGAATATATATTTTAATAACTAATCGTAATAGTTTCTCGAATGACACACAGATTGGCGCGCATCTAGTAACGTAACCACAAATGCCATGCGATAGCTAATCAACTACTGCAACTACAACATAGTTTCAAATACAACCTAAACAAATGAAAGTAAAGCAAGAAAATGAAATGCAATGAATTCGAACGTAAATTAAATGTACTGTAACTAACTCCCCCTCAATCTTCGTTGTGTGTGTAAACAGAATACAAAGTGTAAAACATTATACTGTAAGCTAACCGATACGCAATCGAAACAGAAAACTTGACCACAACAGCAGCCGGAACAGCAATAGAGCAATAGGTACAAGGAGAAGCGCCCAGATCTTGCGATTAATTGGTCTGATATATCTATTGTGAAAGGACTCTTTTTAAGGAGAGAATGATCGCAACAGATCCGGTGCTCAGTATCCACATCCTGGCAGACGGGCGCTCCTCTCTCAGATCTCTTACATGACCATGGACCGTAGTCGGGTATATATCAACTCACTGGAGTCCCCACACAATCGCGCAGCAAAGTAAATATGTATGTATGAGCGTTCAACCAACCATGTGGCAAACGATATGCGGAAACAAACAATTAAACAATATTGTGCAACTTTACATAAGGCATTTATGATTTTATGAAATAAACTGTACTTAAGGATATAACCTGAAGTTTAATTTGGGGAACTGGGACAGTTTCTTTAAATATAATTTATATTTATTAAAATTAATCTACGCCTTTGCAACTTCCGCTTTCTTAACATATTTCATTAGCCTCACAATAGTCGAGGGAGTCACTCCCTGAATCCGACTGGCAGCTGCGATGGTCTGTGGCTGAATAAGCGTCAGCTTTTGTCGCTCCTCGTTGGACAAGCTCAGCGACTTGGAGAAGTAGTCGATGTCGGAGGGTATCGAAAGACGTTCCTCTCGGCGCACGTCCTCTACATCCCGCTGCTGTTCCTCAACAAAAAATGAATACAGAGCTTCGATCTTCAGTCTTTCAGCCAGATTTCGATCACCGCTCAACCAACTAAGTTCGCTGGGATGGAGTTGGATTAGCTGATTTATCGTTATATTGTCCGCCGGTATGCCCAGCATATCGAAGGCCGTCTTCTCCACCGAAGCCTTGGCCTTGGGCAGATCGAGGGCCTGTCGCCAGTAATGGGTGTGCTTTCTGAGTTGTCTCAAGGATTTAATGGCGGATCCTAATCTCTCTTCAGTTTGCTGGAAATGTTGATAACGATGCGGGGATACCAGACCGAATTCATAGCCCTTTTGGGTGAGTCGCATATCAGCATTGTCCGGCCGGAGAGACAGGCGGAACTCTGCTCGGCTGGTGAACATGCGGTAGGGTTCGTTGGTACCCAGGGATGTTAGGTCATCGATCAAGACACCTATGTAGCCCTCAGTTCGACTAATGGTCAACTGCTTGCCATCGGCATGACGCGTTTTTCCCGCTGCGTTGGCCCCAGCTATGATGCCCTGGGCGGCCGCTTCCTCATAGCCTGTGGTTCCATTTATCTGGCCAGCAAAGAAGAGGCCCGGCACTCGCTTCGTTTCCAACGTGGGATACAGCTCGCGGGGATCTATGAAATCGTATTCCACTCCGTAGCCGGGCTGCACAACTTCGGCCTTCTCCAGCCCCTGGATGGCATGCACCAGCTCCACTTGCTGCTCGAAAGGAAGCGTGCAGGAGATTCCCTGGGGATATACTAACGGGCTGTCCAGACCTTCTGGCTCGAGCCAGACTTGGTGCACCTTGGCCCCGAATCGCAGGATCTTTGACTCAATAGATGGGCAGTAGCGGGGACCGGTTATCTCCTCGGTGACGTGCCGATTCACGTGGAGATTGTTGCGCACAATATCGCTGACCTTTGAGGTGGTATAGGTGAGATAGCAAGGTAACTGATCCTTGGCAGGTATCCACACATCGCTGTTGAGGAAGGAGAACGGCATGGGGTGATCGTCACCTTCGTGCCTCTGGAGTTTCGAGAAATCCACGCTGCTCCTGGCTATCCTCGGAGGGGTGCCTGTTTTCAGGCGACCCATGCGGAAGCCCAATCTATCGATGGCCTCGCCCAGAGCTTTCGCTGGAGCATCTCCTATTCGTCCCGCCGGACGCACCTCAAGTCCGATGTTGATATGTGCCCGCAGGAACGTGCCCGTGGTGAGGACCACCGAACGACTGTGCACCACCTCGCCGTTGGCCAGGAGAACTCCAGCGCAGCGCCTGCCTTGAGTTTCGTGCTCATCCTCGATCAGAATGTTGTCCACCGCTGCCGCACGGATCTCCAGATTGGGCGTGCTGTTTAGCTCCTGCTGGACAGCTTTTTTGTACAACTGCCGATCGATCTGGGCCCTGGGTCCCCAAACAGCCGGTCCCCGCCGTCTGTTGAGCACCTTGTAATGCACTCCGGACACATCACAGCAGCGGGCGCACACTCCGTCCAGAGCATCCACCTCCCGCATCAGGTGGCCTTTGCCAATTCCGCCGAAGGAGGGATTGCAAGACATTTCGCCAATCGTTTCCAGTTTGTGGGTGAGCAGCAGGGTGCGGGATCCCATGCGAGCGGCAGCTGCTGAAGCCTCTGTGCCGGCATGTCCGCCTCCGATTACCACCACGTCGTAAACATCCGCAGAGGCACTGTGTGTATTCCTACTACTTGCAGGGGTCCGAATCCTCTTGGCCAGACCATGGACAAGGCCATGGCGGAGGAGTTGCATTTCTTAAGATTTCAAAACAATAAACAATAACAACAACTGAGATTGCACAACACATGTGCGACTATCGTACTATCGATATCAGACCACAATCGTTAATTGAGGTATTATCGATTGTTGGCGCGGAATGGATGTAATTTTTAAATATTTAAAATCTCATACCGGTTTTTGCCAGAACAAACAAATATATGTAAGACTTCAAGAAATCATCATGTTACTCATCCTCTTCCCACTAATTCTGTTCGCCTATTACTTCGGATAGGAGATTCGGCCAATTTGTACAGAACTTTAAAGAATTCAGTTACTTAAATAAATGTTGTTGTACAAAACTTGTTTTAAGAATGCCTGTTGTTGGAAACAGCAACATCCCTATTAATTTAGCATCTTGCAGAGTAGCATAATTCGATTGACTCTTTTGTATAACAGAAGATATAATATTAGACTCATTACATCGCTGTGTCGCAGCATAGCATATTAATTGCATAGATAGAATAAAATTTGTTGTATAACTACTTATATTAGGAACAACCGAGTAACTAAAATCCATCCATTTCTGCTTTTCGCTTTCGCTTCTTAAGCTTTTGCTTGAGGTCTGGCGCCTTGCCACGGACGACTGCCGCCTTCAGGCGCTTCGCTGCTTTCTTGCGCTCCTGCACGCCAGCCTTGCGCTTGGCCGCCCGCTGCGGATCGTGGATCTTTTCCTGGGCCACCACCTTCCGGCGCTCGGCACGGCGAGCCATCAGCTTGGTCTGCACCAGGTTCCTCAGCTTGTCGTACACATCGGCACCAATGCGCTTTCTCAGCCGACTGCCCACGCGGAGAGCTTGCTGGCGCAGTTCAGCATCCACGTTCTGGTCCTCCTCGGACATTTCGCGCACCAGGGCCTGGAGGAGAGCGGGTGCCAGTCGGGTGACGGTCTCCACACTGAGCAGCGTAGCGAGCGCCTCTATCAGCGTGAACATGGCAGTGCGCTGGAGTTGTACATTAATTAATGAGTTAGTATATTAATTAAGAAGTATAACTATTGTACTCACAATGCTGATATCGTGAGGCGCCTTGGCCACCTCCTTATTGATCAGGAAACGTATATTTCGCAGCAGCCAGTTGAGATTTATTTTGTTGACGAGCCCATCCACCTCCTCCGCATCTTTCTCCTGTTTTAAACTGAAGGGAACATCGCGCAGCATATGGCCGACGTACAGCAGAATCTTGGATAGTTCATCGATCATTTCCTGGGCCGTTTCACCGGGAGTGACCTGGGCGCACAGATCCAGAACCAGGGACTTGATATCCTGAGAAGGCTGTGCGTAAATAAAGTCTAGCGCCTTCTCAGTGTCCTTTTCGCGTTTAATGCCCGCCAGCTGTTGTCCAACGTAGGCGTAGTCGTAATGTGCCAGGATGTGGGTTAAAAGTTTGGCTGCATTGCAACGAACCCAGTTGTGGTCGTGACCCAAAAGACGATGAGAGCCATACGCTAGTTCGTCCAGTGTGTCCGAGAGCTCTTCGTTGCTCATCAGCGACTCGCCGCAATGCTCGAAGATTTTTATAAGACAGTACTGTAGCTGGATGAGCTGGTGGTCCACCTTCCGCTGCTGCTGCTCCACTCTTGTTTCTGTGTCGTGGCCCGCCAGCAGAAGGTCTTCATCGGGCAGGCTTCCGAATTTCTAGGAAAGATAATCAAACATGAGACAAGATGAACATTGAGAAAAGTATCATTCTTACCTTTCGTTTCGCCTTTTTGTGTAGACTGGATTCATCCACCTCTGCCTCCTGGAAACCGGGAGCCCGCACAAACCTTCCGACTGCATTCGCATAACCCGAATTTAAGACACTCACTAAGGTGGGCAGCACCAGAGGCAACCTCTCCGAGAAGCCCGCCTTCTCCGCCTGAACAAATCGGGAGAGTAGGGCGGCGGCCATTTCCCTGACTCCTGGATTGTGACTGGACTGCGGTGCGGTGAAGAAGAGCATCGTGAGGTCTAGCAGAGGCTGCCGTTCCACTTTGGTAAGGCGAGCGATCAGGGCCTCCAACGCGGCAGCTACACTGCGACGGCAAGAGGGATCCTCGTCGTTGACCAGTCGGGTGCCCAGGGAAAGGTAAAGGAACTCCGACTGCTTCACCAGCATCAGCTGGGGGAACTTGTTGATGATGGAGTGCATGAACTGGATGGCCGACAGGCGACCGGCGATCTGGCTGTAGCACAACTGAACCGACATGAACTTGACCATCTGTTCCACCTTCTGGCGCAGCGTGTACTCCATGATGTAGGTGAGAAGTATGCCACGCGATTCGTCCCTCACATAATCCGATGGCGAAATTATGGCCAGGTCTCCCAGACGCTTCATGAGGTCATGCAGGGATCGGGTATCCACCTTTCGACTCACCAGCGCCTTGAGGAGGGTAAACACCATGGTTTGGCTGCTGCACTCGCCTTCCTGCAACTCCTGTTCGACGTGAAGGAGCAGCTGCTCGATCTGCTCATCGCTGAGTTTAAAGTCTTGGCACTTGCGTAGCAGGGCAACCACTGCTTTAAAGCTCGCCCTCACCAATTGGGCGTTCTCCTCCTGCCGGGTGGCTCCGAAAGTCGAGAAGTTCTTAAGGATCTCAAACATGCGCTGCACCACCGGCTGTAGGGCCTCCGCATTGAGGTCGGAAAGCTCATACTCACCAACCCAAATGGCCGTATAGCACTTTAGGGCATAGGTGGTGGTCCTGGCATGGTTGCTGCTTAGGGAATCCTTCAGCAGTGGCAGCAGGGGGTGGAGGAATGGCTGGTAGTCCAGATCCGTTAGCTTTTTTCGCTTTAACACGAAATGAAGGAGCTCCAGCCCGAACTCAATCAGGATGTGAGCATTGGCCTGGGCATTGGACTTCACCTGCTTGTTGCCTGTGACTACGCTGCGCCTACCCGGCGCAGGCTGGAGGATTAGGCAGTCCGGGCGCGACCTTTTCATCAGCGCCTGTTCCTTGTCCGTAAGCTGTCGCTTCTGGGTGCCAGGTAGGAGATCACTAATGCTCTCCGACATTGTGCCATAGATGAATATCAGCAGGCTCTCCCGGGCGATGTGCGTGTTTTCCACCAGGCCGCCGACAATCTTGGCGAAGCACTCCTGGATCTTTTGCGTGACTTTACGGGAGTGCGACCGGGCTAAGTGCTCCTTGAACGGCAGCAGGAGATCCAACAAGCAGTTGTCCCGGATGTGCCGCGAGGCTATGTTTAGGGTCAGATAGCTCTTGGCACTTGGTTTAGCCTCCGGCGTGTGAGCCACAATCTTTTCCACCTCCTTCTCGGCGCTCACATCTCCAAAGATATCGTTGAGGGCCACCTCCAGCAGATTCTGCAGACATTTCTCAATGTGATCAGGTTGCAGATCGGCCTTCAGGGCATCCAAAACGCCATGAAGTGTCACTGAGAGCACGTGCACCTGGAAGCCTCGGGTGAGGAGCGATTGTAGCTGCTCCAGCAACAGACCCAGATAGCTGCCACCCAGCGTGATCATGATCTTCTTTAGGATGTCACGAGTGAGCATGCGAACGGACTTCAGAGGGGAACGTAGGAAAGTGCAGACCTTCATGAAGATTCCTGCATTTAAAAAATACAAATTAATAATATAATTAAAAGAACTTAGGATTCCACTAACCTGGCAGACTGTTGTCCAGCAATTCCAAAGGCAACTTCTGCAGCAGCTTCACCATGGCCAATGCTATGGGCACCTTCTGTATTTCCTCCTCCTCGCGTTCGTAGCTCAGACGACGGCGATTTACCTTGTGCTTGGAGTCGTAGTTGGTCTTCTCTGTAATGGCTCTGTTAAGAGTGGGCAGCAGCACAGTTGTAATCGTGGCCATGACCCGCTTGGCGGCATTGTGACCCAACAGTTGCGTCCGCTGGCGCTCTACCACTGGCTCGACCGCTTCCTCCTCTTCAAAGTCAATAAAGTCTGACTGATCTTCGGTTTTCAGAGGCTTCTCTTCGGGTTCACCATCAGCATCGGCATCCTCTTCAGTCTTGGCTTCTTCTGGCTCTTCAGATTCTGGCTTTTCCTCTGCCAGCTTCTGCTTGAGCTGGGCGAGGGCAGCCAAGTCCGTTTGCGCCTGCGTCAGGTCAAAATGGAAGGCGTCCAATATGCGCACCACCAGGCGGACGCACTGCTTCTGCTGACCCTGGGCATGTCTGAGCTTCTGTAGATAATAGCGTAGAGCAGCGTGGTACTGGGTCCAGGGCAGGAGCTCACTCATCACGCCCACTGCCTCGATGGCGGCATCAACCAGTGTATGTTTGCCGGCATGCTTTTCACTCAGCAGATATCGGGTGGCCAGTGGGAGTAGGAACTGGGTTAAGGTGCGGGCGCAGGGCGGCGCCTGTCGCCAGATGCCTCCGGAGATATTTACCAGGCGCTGCAGCGCACGACCATGTCGCTGAGTCTGCAGATGGAGCATATTCTCGAAGAAATCCACCTCCAGATCGTGCTTATCCGCCAGTGGCGACAGATCCTTAAGGACATCGTGGGCAGCTGGGCATTGGCGTGCGAGCTCACCCAGCAAGCCGATGGCCTCGCTTCTGGCATGCTCGTGCTTCTCGTCCTTCATCGAGCGTTGCAAAAGGGGCAGTAGCGTGTCCTCCAGCCAGAAATGAGAGTCCTCCTTGGCATCCAGCTTCAAGGTTATCAGAGGAGCAGCGGTTTCAGCAGCTCTCCTATGTTAACCCTCATGCCCAGGTCCGAGTCGTGGCGCAGCATGTGAAAGCAGTTGTAGAGTACCAGGACCGCCAGTTCCAGGTCCAGTTTCATGTCCTTTTTCTCCACCAGCTGCTTAAGCTCCGACAGGGCTTCGAGGCGCTTGTCATAGTCGGGCTGCTCCAGCCACCTCTTGTCCCAGGCATTGAGGAGTAGTACAATCCGAGCCCATTCACGAAGAGAGGCGGCAGCAGCGGAGAGTTCTGGCTTCTGTTTGGCCTCCTTATGCAGCCTCTTCGCCATGTCTGCCAAGAGTTCGCACAGCAGCTTCCTGGCTGGCAGCACATTAACTTGTTCAAACAGCGGCGCTAAGGGACGGACATAATCCTGTGGGCTGGGAACTCTCTTCAACAGATTGGACAGGGTGGTGACCAACTGCACAACTGTTTCTGGGCCAGCTGAGGCTGCTTGCTTGGTAAAGATGGGCAGCACTACGTTTAGGAGCAACTCACAGGTTGACGACTCCTCCACATGCGAGGTGATCAACGTAAGGATGTTCAACTCCCGCTTGTCAAGCGCCTGCCTGCCGGCCTTCTTATTTCGCCAACTATTCTGCAGCTGCTGTAGGATGGCCGGGATGTGAGGTTGGACGATGTCCAGGGCCATGGCTCCAAACTCCTCGGTGGCAGCCGCCTCCAAAAGCTGCTCCACCAGAGTCATCAGCGATCGCTTCACCACCGGTTTAGCTTTATCGTTCAGCAGCAGGGCCATCAGGTGATGCATTATGGGCTCCTTATCTGTGGGAGGACTTCGGTTAAGCCACTTCTGATAGCGCGGTTCCCCGCCCCACAGAAGCATCAACTTCAGCAGGGGAGTGGGCGTGTGTATGGAGTCCTGGGAGAGGCGTGGCAGCGCTGGCCAAACGTAGACATCGCAAACAGCATTCATCTCTGGCTCCTGCCACAACTCCTCCATGTCCACCAGCTGGCCGAAGTAGTTCACCAAGGTCTGCAAGCCAGAGTGCTTGACATTCTTGTAGGCAGCCACCAGTTTTCCCTCTCCTTTGATGACCTCCTGGGCGACGCTTCCCACGAGCAGCAGTAGTTTCAGAACGTAGCCTTGGAAGGAGGCCGTAAGCTTGCCAGCGAACTCCTTTCGAATCAGCTCTAGGAGATTGACGATCCTCTGGAGTTGTCTGGCTGCAATCACCGCCGAGGGATCGTACGAGTCCCGAACGTACTTGGCCAACTCGCCGACTGGTTTGTCTGTGTAGGAAGAAAACTTTCCAAAGGCCATTTGCAGGAAGTCCATGATTTCCGACTCCTCCAGTTGGCCCAGAAATCGCAGAATCAGTGTCTTTCGCAACTGGGCACTCAGTTGCTTCTGGACTCCCTTGGTCAGCATTTTTCCATAAAGCACGCGCAACATAAAGGGCATCAGTTCAGATCTCTGCTGAGCCGGTACATTGGCCAATTCGAATCCGGTGAGCGTCGTCTTGAATTTTGCTTCATCGATGAGACCCGCCAACTGCTCCTTCTGCTGGACCAAAGCCACCGGCTGCTTGTATGCCGCCAGACAGTCCAGTGCCAGTTGTTGGAGCTGCGCATTCGGACCGGCCAGTAGCTCCAGATAGAACTCGTGCATCTCTGCCTGCCGATGTAGAGCTTTGGGATTCGGCTGGGACACAAAGCAGGCCAGCTTTAGTTGGAGTGTCTGCAGTATGAACTTGGCATGAGAATTGTGGGTTCTTCTCTTCTTTCGCGTTCGGGACTCGTTCTTGGATTCGTCCTCCTCATCGTCATCAGCATCGTCAGTTAGTTGCTGCAGCTGCTCACCTGATGCCTCGTCCACATTCCAGGTGTGCTCCGATTTCTCCAACTGGGCTCGATACTCCTGCTCCACGAACTGAAGAAACAGACGCACCAAGTCGGCATTTTTCACCTCGGCAAGGGAGCCCAATTTGGGAAGACTTTGCCACAGGAGCTGGCGGTAGTTGAGCGCCTGCTGGAGTGTGAGCTGTTGCTCCTCCGCCAGTGGTAGCAACATGGTCAACGCTGCGGAATTGTAACTCCTTCGGTGGGGTTGCTGCAGGATTGTCACCTCCCTCTTGTAGTCTATGCAGGCGACAGTCTCCACTAGTTTCGCCTTGAAGAGGTTCCAGAACTCCTCCGTTGTCATTGTCTTTACGTAGGCAGCCAAGAGTTGCTGGACCGGCGCCCACACAAACTTGAAGTTGTTGTACAGTAGGCCGAGCAGGAGGCTCACCGCGTGCTCCTTAAAGTGCGGATGCAGCGAGAACTGCTTGAACTGGGCTGCGGCGGGTTCTAGCTGTTGCAGCTGAAGGAGAAGCTCGCGGTAGTTGTGGACGGTGGGCTCGATGCAGGTGGCGGCGTAGAAGTAGGAATATGGATTAGGTTTCAGCGAATTGCTTACCACATCCAGGCATTGGGCCGCAATGCGTCGGTATTGCGACTGAGGTTGGCTCAACTGGTTCGACACGGCCGATAGTAGGTCATCCGATGCGGAAAGCTCACTTTTGGAGGTCTCCAGGAGGATCAGTTGCAGGCAGGCCAAGGCCCTGATATCGGTCCCCAGTTGCGGAATAAGATATTCTTGAATTCTGGAACGCAGATCCTTGGAAAGTTTGAACTTGAGTAGAGCATGCGTTTGAAGTAGCAATAGAAGCAGTGTGAAGTCCTTTTCTCCTTCCTCCAAGCGCTGTTCAATGACAGATTGTAGTCCCTGGTCCAAGGACTGTTTGCTGAAGCCTCTTAGGTGAGGAGCCAGCACCAACAGCAACAGGTGATCCTCCTCATTCACGTCTAACGTCAGCAGTTGCTGTTCAATGCTCTTGATGGTCTCCTTCTGCTTCAGCGGGAGTGGATAAACATCCCATTGGACTAGGGAGTTGCCATCCACCTGCAGTGGCCTCTTGTGCTGGACGACGCGCGCCAATAGCTCCAAGGCTCTCGCTTCTCTCTTCTCCTCGTAATAGGCAATGACGTGGGGAAGAACCAGTATTTCAAACTGCTGGTAGTCCAGCAGCTGCAAAATGGAGTCCTCGTACACGGACACATCCGCCCGGCTTACGTTCAGCAGCTTCTGTAGCAGTCGACTGGCGTCCAGTTGCGTGAGTTGCGCGTGCTGAGCCTTCAGCAAATTCGTAACTAAGGTGGTCAGTGGATGGAGCGGCTCCACCCCCCGGTCCAACAGCTTTAGCAGCGTGGCCACCACAAGCGGGAGTTCTGAGACGTAGCGTCCATCCTTGTGGGTGACAAGCGGCAGCATTAGATCGATTAGGCGCGACACATCCACACTTTCACCGCTGCCGGCAGCTGAGCAGAGGCCTTGCCAGAGAACGGAACTCTGGTCCGAGCGCAAAAAGTTCAGCAGCAGTCCCATTGAATGCTCCACAATGTCTCCCAACAGCTCAGTCTGGGCTTTCGTGTGAGCCGAGGTGCTGTTGACGAGCACCTCCAGGACGTGGGCGAAGATTTCGGCGGCAGAGTTGTGCAGCTGTCCGTTGACGCCGCGCAGTATCTCGTAGATGAGTCTGCCGCAGCCGTGGACACTCTCAACCTGTTCCCGCAGCACGGTCTTGAGAACGTAGGCCAGGAAGCGGGGAAATCACGGACATCGCGGGCTATGTAGGCGAAGCATTCTACGGCGAAGTTGGTCACGTGCTCGGCATAGTGCTGCTCATCCAGTAGCGGCAGAATGGCGTTGAAGACCACGCCAATGTTCCGCTTCAGATACGGCTTAAGGGTCTTGAACAGGTGCGCCAGACAGATCAACGTCCACTCCAGCTGCTCGGCATCCTGGGTGTTCAGCAGGCAGATCAGGCGGTCCAGCACGCGCTGGAAATACGGGTAGAACTCCTCGCGAAGATCGCGGGCGAGCACGTAAAGCAGCTCCAGCAGCGGCTGCTGCGACAGATTTGTGGCCGTGGCCAGGCGCTCCAGCAGCAAGTCGACCACAAACTCCCTCTGGTGCAGCAGCTGCGGCAAGGTAACTATCTTCCGGCATCGTTTGCTGAAGTAGTTGTACTCCTCAGTCAGGTTGAGAACGTTCCATTTCTGGATCGTCTGCTGGAAGTAGGTGGCATTCTCCTCCTCGTCGAGCTCTTCGTTGCGGTGGCCAATGTGATAGAGGGCCAAGTGCCGCAGGTCGATCTCATTCACACGGTCTCCAAATGATTTGAACTGCGGGCGACAAACAGATACATCGTAGAACGGGGTGCTCCCGGCAACGTGAGACTTCTAGGGACACTCACCCGAAATGTGTTTGTGTATTTCGTCTTTTCCGCTAAAGACGCCATTTCGTCGTTTATTTTATCTGCTTTTGGATCACTTCATTTGCACCTGACCGGTTTATTTAGAGGAAAAATTCTTTTGTTTACGCGAGCTCGTGTTTTATTTTCGTTCAACTGCAACACGTGCAGACCATATGTTTTGCGGCGTTGCCCAACACTCTTTGCAAAATATCGATAGTCACGACTATCGTATACGAACTTGGCGGAGTATTTAAATTTATCTAAGTTAAACTGGCACCAAAAGATTGGAAAAGCAATAATGAACATAATCTTAGTTAAATAACTTGCAATATTATTGTTTCTTGTATATATTTACACAATGTTAATTATATATAGTGCAATATTATTGTTTCTTGTGTATATTTATTTTTTACTAATACAAAACATTTATGGACCTTCACATGATATGGCACAAACATATAAGAAATATAAAAAATACGACATTTTAGGCAGACTCCTGAGCCTGAAGGTAGTTAAAAACAGTGCCGCGCTCCACAAAGCGTATGCTGTTCTCCTGGTCTGTACCTTCACCGGTTTTTGAGGAGCCTCCGCTGGGTCCAAAGCCTCCTCCACCGGGGGTTTTCATGGCAAACGTATCCTAAAAACAATCACATTTAATACAGAAATACTAAACTAAGATAAATCAGTAAACTCACCCCCGCTTCCACATCGATGCAGGTTTTTCCGGCCAAGGCTATCACTCTTCCATCATGCTTCACCACCAGGTTGCGTCCACTCTTCCCCGATTCTCCACCTGCCAGTCCATAGGGCTGGAGAGTTCTACGCTCCGTTAGGACAGACAGGGTAACAGGTTTCCGGAAGAGAAGATCCCGCTCCACGCCCTCGCCTCCATTGAATTGTCCCCGTCCACCGGAGCCATCGGTGCGCAGGCAGAACCTCTTCAGAATCATGGGGTAGCGTAGCTCCAGGATCTCCGGATCGGTGATGCGGGTGTTGGTCATGTGCGTGTGCACTCCGCCGGCTCCATGCCATCCGGGTCCTGCGCCGGCACCACCAGCCACTGTCTCGTAATATCCCCAGGTTTCGTCACCAATAGTTATGTTGTTCATGCATCCTTGTGAGGCGGCACAAACACCGAATGCTTTGAGAACGGTGTCCACAATGCGCTGCGAGGTCTGGACATTGCCGCCGACCACGGCGGCTCCCTCGGACGGGTCCAGGATAGAGTTCTTTGGAATGATGACCTGGATGGGGGCCAGGCAGCCCTGGTTGAGGGGCACATCGTGACCCACCATGCAGCGTAGACAGTAGATCAACGCGGACAGAGTGATCGCTCTCGGGGCATTGCAGTTGCCCCAAACCTCCACGCCAGATCCGGTGAAGTCGCACAGTGCGGAGCCCAGCTCAGCATCTATGGTCACCTTGAGGGCGATGGGAGAGCCGTCGTCCATAAATTCCCGCGCCTCTAGTACTGTAGATCCTGTGCGGGCCAGCGTATCCCGGCCGATCTGACGTAACATGTCCCGAACCGCCAGTTCAGCGTTCTTCTGGATATGGGACATGTAGGCCTGGACCACATCCAAGCCATAGCTGTCGATTAGCTCGGCCACCAGCTGGATGCCCTTGTGGTTGGCAGCAATCTGGGCCTTCAAGTCCGACAGATTATCGCTGAGGTTCCTAGTGCCCACGGCTCCCTTGGCAGCTGTCGGTGTGGTCAGCCGCTCTACTATTTGCTGCTCCTGGAATACCCCATTCTCCACGATCAGGAAGCTCTTGAAAGCGGCGCCCTCCTGGGCCAGCGAGGTGGAATGCGGCGGCATGGAGCCCGGTGTGATGCCTCCAATATCGGCATGATGACCTCGGGAGGCCACAAAGAACACGGGACGAGGGTGACTCCTGTATAATAAGAATTTGAATGATTTTTACAATGATTTAAAAAGAACCAGAACTCACTCATAAAACACCGGAGTAATGACTGTCAAATCAGGCAGATGAGAGCCTCCAGCTGAGGGGTGATTGGCCAGAATTACATCGCCGTTCTTCAGGGTATCTCCTCGGACCCTTAGTTGGTACTGGACGGTCTCCTGCATGGCTCCCAGGTGAACAGGAATGTGTGGAGCATTGCTGACCAGTCCGCCATCCGGACCAAATAGAGCACAGGAGAAGTCGAGGCGTTCCTTGATGTTGGTGGAAATTGAAGTACGTTGGAGCACCCTGCCCATCTGCTCGGCTATGCTCATGAAGCGGTGACTGAAGATGCTCAGATGCACGGGATCCAGCTCGGCATTGATGCCATGTTTTCCTCCAGTCTTCACGTCCATGATAAGGTCTCCAAACGGAGTGACCTGGACACCGCATTCCGGTTCTACGACGATCGTAGAGAGCTGGTCAATCAGAACAGCGGGTCCGGTGACTTTGTGACCGGCCAGCAGGTTCTTGGTCAGGTATATGGGAGCATCGAAGCTGCCCTGGTCAAAGTGGACTCGGGTATTGCCCTCGGCTGGTGGAGTTACTTCCGAGGCATCCTTAACCTTCGACTCTGGTGGCGTCTCGTTCTTCCCCAATCCTCGAATCCGGATGTCATCCACAATGATACGTCTGTTCTGCAGAACAAAGCCAAACTCGGTGCGATAACGTTCCAGGAAGGTGGCATGGAAATCACCATAGGCTGACAAAAGGGCAGACGAGGCCGAGGATTGCTTTCCTGCTGCAGATGGGGCAACCATCAGAGCGCCATCGGTGCCCTCATAGCGCAAGTGGAGGAAGGGCTCCAGTTCGATTTTACGGAATCCCTGCTGAGCCAACTTGTTGTGGCATTGTTGGGACAACGCATCCAAGCGCTCCTTCAGCTGCTGGGCATTCGCATCGCTGAACTCCAGACCACTTGGCTCCTGCAGCTCCTGGACAACGTCAGCCAGAGCCATGCCATAAGCGGATAGGATTCCAGCGTACTTGTGCACCACAACCTAAAAGGATTAAAAGAAAAGATATTTTAATATATCTATAAAACATAAAATAGTCTTTACTTTACCTTGCCGATTCCCAGATTACGAGCAATGGCACAGGCATGCTGGCCACCAGCTCCTCCAAAGCAGGACAGCACATGGTTGGCTGTATCCAATCCTCGAGACTGCGTCAAGGCCCTAATGGGCCTGCACATTGTCTCGTTGGCCACTCGAATGAAGCCAAGAGCCACTTGCTCGATGCTCAGCACTCGGTCATCGCCAGAGGCCTTCAGATGGCTGTTAATCTCCGCCTGCAGTTGCACGAACTTGCTCCTGGCAATCTCATGGTCCAGCGGCTCGTTCTCCTTGGGTCCAAAGATCTTGGGGAAATACTGAGGCAGAATGCGTCCCAGAATGAGATTGGCATCCGTGACGGTCAGAGGTCCTCCCTTTTTGTAGCAAGCAGGACCGGGATGCGAACCGGCCGATTCTGGACCGACCACGAATATTCCCGAGCGGAAGAATAGCCGGGATCCGCCACCAGCAGCCACAGTGTTGATGTCCAACTGCGGCGCCTGGATGGTCACTCCAGCCGTGGTGCTCTCGATGACATGTTCATAGCTGCCGGCATAGCGAGACACGTCCGTGGAGGTGCCTCCCATGTCGAAACCAATGAGTGGCAGCTCCGTTTCTCGGGCTCCGGTCAGAGCGTAGCCTACAACGCCTCCCGCAGGTCCCGAGAGAATGGCACGGGCTCCGCGGAAGTTCTCCATGTTGGTCAGCCCGCCATCCGATTGCATGAAGAGCACATCCACACCCTCCAGCTGCTTGTCAAAGCCAGATTTGAAGCTGAGAATGGGAAAAAAGGCATACTTTGTAGATGTTGGGACAATTTTTCAGACACTACTGTACAGTGAGAGAGTGCTTTTGTTGTTATACCCTCTCCAGATCAAAAGAATAGGGTATATCATATGTAGTGATAAGATTTCAAGACAAACAAGCTTTATAAACTAACACAGCAAAGTCTCTTATTCCAAAATAAACGAAGGAAATACTTTTATATTGTTAAGATAATGCGGTTTTTATAATAACAGAATATAAATCTACTCTAAATCTATTTTCTTTTCGTTTAAGCTTAAATATGTTCTTTTTAATTCCGAATATTTAAAACTTGCGTTTAAAGCAACTAATGCTTGCTTATTATTAGTGGGTATCTACAAGTCAAGACGTTTTACCCCACGGATTCCCACTATCAGTTCTCTCTGTGTTTACGTTACGTAACCCCATATGGGATCTAAGCTTTGCATATTTGTTTTGTTTAATATTATATTGCTGTTTAGTCTGATTCTAGCCTTATCTTTATAGTATTTCTTGCCGTCGCAAGAATAGTCTGTTGAGACCCCGAAAAAGAGCTAGGTCACTCGGCTAATTTACAAACCAAAGATTAGATGCACTTACCTGGCCAGGTAGCGATCTACATGAGGCGTTAAGTAGGCCTCCGCGCAGGCTGTGTATCCGCGGGCCACCACCCTGCACATGGGCATGGCCTCATGGGAGAGTGTGACGTGGCTGAAGCCCAGCTCCCGGGCGAGGGCTCCCACACGGATCTCGTGCTCCGGACAGGCGTAGCTGTGGGCTAGCACTACAGCAACCGAGGAGACGCCTTGCTCCCGGGCCGAGGAGAGCGAGGCACGTAGAGCAACCTCATCCACTGGATGCACCTCCAGGTACTTTGTACCGGCCACTCCCTCCAGCACCTTCCAGTTTTGTTCTACGGCAAACTGATTAGAATTCCATGGGGCTATCACAACGGGAGATGCACTTACTCAGCTCACAGCGCTCCGGCTGCTGGGGAACAATGCGGCAGTCCACCTCCACCACAGACTGATATAGATTTGCAGGCTTGCGGATGTTGAGATCGAAGATCTTGGGCCTCGCCTGGTTGCCAATGTACAGGAGATCCCTGAAGCCACTGTTTACCACCAAGACCACTGGATCACCCTTGCGCTCGAGCAGGGCATTAGTAGCCACTGTTGTGCCCATGCGAACCCATCCAATTTTCGAGGTGTCCACTAGGCCACTTGGAGCCAGATCCTCGCCAGTTTCTTCCTTAAGGATGCGACGAATGCCTTCGCGAGGGGCATCGCTGTATCGCTCCGGATCCTCGGAAAGCAGCTTCATGGTGCGCACCTTGCCACCGGGACAGATGCAAAGAACATCCGTGAAGGTGCCGCCGCGATCAATGGCGAAGCAGTATTTGTTCCCCGACATTATGTCTTTGTTTTGCTTTGAAGTTTCGACCGCGAGAGTGAAATGTAGACTGAGGCGGCAGCCAGTGCAAGAGGCTGTATATATACAGGTGGCTCTCCCGAAAGCTCTTTGCACATAATCTCACTGTTTGCCACTCTCTTGCGCTCTCACTTTCTTTATTATGATTATTGCCCATGGTAGAATTATACAAGGTAGTCTCGTCGGCAAAAGCACTCCGCTATTCATTACTCACAACAAGTGCGAGTGAGAGGAGTCTGCGAAGTAAGTGCGAGTGAAACGACAAAAGAGCTTTTAGTTTAGCCCTTAGATGGTCCATGGGGGTTAAATTGTTCATACATAGTAAAAAGAGTTGAAGTGTTTTATAATTTAATTTTTAATAGTTTGGAATTTGACATTAATCTTTGTTTTTGTTTTTGTAAAGCTATTTTTTTGTTTAAATTCTTAATTTTAAAATATATCCGAATCTTAAAGTAAAATTTTTTTATATCTAAATTAATGTTTATGTTCTTAGCAGAACGACATCGCACACAAGGGTTAATAGTAAGAAAAAAATCGTCCGCACACAACCTTTCTGCTTGACAAACACGAACGCACTGAAAATAAGCCGAACGGTTAGGCAGCCGACGAGACTACCTTGTATAATTGTATCATGATTATTGCCTTGTATATCGCGGGTATAAGAGCTTGTGCCTCGCTCTCTTAAAAAGCAACAAGTGAGCAAGCTAACAGCCAAAACTAAGTACTTAGGATACAATATAATATTATATAATAATTTAATATTATTACAATTTCAGCCGTAAAATAACAACTAAAACTATAAACTATTTTGGGTTAAATAACTATATTTTATCACCAAACATACATATCGTCACTATTATCTATTACCATATAAAGATGTGTTTTTCCTTGATATATATTTATATGATATATTGTTATAAAAAGATAATTAATATTTTCATATCGTAATAAATTTCAATGACCATGCCGTTTGTTAAATATAGTAGTCTGATTCTGTGTTGTTTTTCACACTACTGAACTGAACTCTGTAACATAGTTATCCTTTCTTCGCTTTAAGGTTCTCATCAATTAAATGTATTTTGTTTAATTAATAGATAGAATAATATATTCCAGGCCATCACCGAAGCTACTCCATCTTTTTGCAAACAATTCATCAATTCAATAATTGTTGTCAATTTAAATTACAAATCAATAAATTACTGATAACAATTCCCCCAGACCAGGCCAGCATAGTTTGTACGACTTTGAGCTTATTGAACTCAAACGTTAAATTTTTCTCGTTTCAATGGTGGTTTGGCAAACCATAAATATATATGCAAATGCATGTTTTATCTGTTTTTTTTTTACTTCGCAGCAATGAAATTTGATGACTTATTAAACGAGGCCATAAAGAGCGCATTTCGGGCGAGTTCGTCGGTGTCGGTGGCCTTTGGGCGCAATTGTTTGCCAGAAAGTCGGCCGTATCAATCGACTCGATATGTGATATGCGATTGCGATTGCGAGTCCCAGTGGAACGGTTCAGATTGTTTCTCGCCACCGTTATGGCCCCTAATACTGGTGTCCTGCGGCGGCTTGGTAGGCACATCAGAGTGACAGTGGGAGTCCTTGGCTGGCGACTCCCTGGCTGACTCCCTGGCTGGTTTATGTGCGAACATTGATGGCAGTTTTACGACCGCTTTTCCATGCTCTACACGTCGAAAACATAGCTCCACAAATTGCCTAGAGTTTTCCGTAAGCATGGTGAACTGGGGCAAGCAGCTGTGGAAACGGAAAAGCAAAAAAAACAGTCCTATGTGGAGGAGGCCACAGAGAACGAATTGTGGCAGGAGTACTATGCCCCGTATTTGCACTTCTTGCCCTTTCAGGAAGTCTGTACAAGATTGGAGACGAGTCTCGCCCAGGTAAGATGGAATGCTGCAAGTTATTGCAACTGCGACATAACGGAGCCTTCCACAGGGACTGACTCGAGAAGAGGCTGCAATAAGACTGCAGCGCAGGGGCAAGAACATTCTGCCGATCCCTAAGAAGCGAAAACCTTTAGTTGTAAGGTACTTTTATTACTGCTTTAGCGTCATGGGCTGCATCATACTGTTGGGTTCACTCATCTGCTTCTACTTGCACCATAAAGTATACGACATGTATCCCAATGAACTTCACAATCCGAGATATTTGGCGTCGGGTTGGATCCTGCTCATCATCTTCTTTCTCGCCGGGCTTATGCCCCTCATGCATGAGGACGATGACGAAGCGCTGATCGAGGCTATCGACATGACAATGCCCATGTATTGCACTGTGATTCGAGATGGGAAGAAGGAGATCATCCTCACCCAGGACGTGGTGATTGGCGACGTTATTCCGATCAGCTATGGCCAGCGGTTACCAGCGGACTTGAGATTCTTTAGTACCTCGGGCCTGGAAGTTGATAATGTGGCTCTTACAGGATCCTCGGATCCCTGGCAAATATTTCTTTTAGCGAGCGATGAAAAGCAGATGTTCTCGCACTCAAGAATTGAGTATTTACATGATTAGAAATTATGTTAGTGATTTAGTATTTATGTAATTTGTCAAACATAATTAAAATAAATATAAATATATATTGTACTGATAAAGTTATATACAGTTGTATTTTCACCGAATGTTGAGCAGTGTGCATTGCCAACTTCCGCTTAGGGTTGCCACCCTTCGTCACCGGAAGGGAGGTTGGCTTCCGTTTTGGCAGATGTAACTTAAACACAACCAATATACTCCCAAAGAGATCGTAGAAAATATTCATAGTTTTAACGTATATTAATCCTCATGAATCACATACCTTTCCATCTGCTGTCAGTCTAAGGCTTCTGCTAACAAAACATCCCAAAAGATGGATCCCCCACCTTTGCCCAGATGGCTTTCCAGCAATGTGGCCTTTGCCGGCACTCATGCGACAAAAGGATATGGTATAGGTGTGGCTATTGGGTGTGGAAAGAACACGGAAATTGCTAAGATGATGGAACTCAGCTTCAAGGAGCGTCCAGTGAGTCGAATGAACCATCATATAAAGCAGGTGGGATTTTAGATCTACTCCTTAATATGGTTCGCTAAATTATTCTTTCCTCCTTTAAGGTTGGGTTCTACACCGCCTGTTTAGCTCTTATATGGCTTATCATAGTGTTCTTTTTGGTTTCTAATGATCACTCATACATGCAGCTGGAGATGTTTATAACCATCATGCTTGCCCTGTCTCCCATGTATCTACCTTTTATCCTCTTTTGGGGCATGACAACGACTAGAAACGCGATGCAGGATACTCTGTGCTACGCAAGGAGCCTTGAGGCCACCAGCACAGTGGGCCTTACCACAGTGATTGTGACCGATATGACCAGGACCATAACCAAGCGATGGATGGAGGTGACGGAGATCTTTGTGGAAATGGAGCTGGTGAGTGCAGAGACAGCGAATGCGAAAGAATTGGGTCCGCGATTCACCGAGCTGATCCAAGCTTCGGTTCTCTGCAACGATGCTGTCATCCATTCGGGTAACATCGGTGTACCCAAGGTGAAAAAGAGCATGTACGGCAACTACCAGGACATCGCAATGCTTCGATACGGCCTGCTTAATCTGCCCGATATCAAACAGTTGCGGCAGGATCACGAGAAGGTGGCCAACAAGGGATACAGCTCTGCGGATCATGTCCAGGTGACGGTGCACAGGACTTATGGCGCCAATGGGGAGCTCAAGCTGATCCTGCTGATGAAAGGCCACTGCGACACGGTTATCCGTCGGTGCTCCACCTACGCCGTGCGCGATGAGGAGATCCCGCTGGACGATCGGCTGCAAGACATCATTATCAAGCTGGCGGACGGACTGCTGGCTTCTGGACGTCATGTGCGCGCCTTTGCCTACAAGGAGCTCACCAACAGACTGGAGATGCGCAGGATCTCACAGACATACAGTGGCGGGGGTGGCGGGGAGTTCCGGGATTACCTGGCGGTGGATATCTTCTCGCTAAGATTCCTCGGTATGATTACCACGTACACTCATGCGAGGACTACCATTCCCAAGGCTGTGGCCAGATGCCGATCGGCTGGTATCAAGTTGGTCGTGGTCACCTCACAGGATCCTAACAGGGCATGGGCTATCGCATCGGAAATTGGCCTTTTGTTACCACATTCGGATGATATTAAGTCGGGACGAAAACTAACAGACCACTATGCTTTTAAGCCCACGGAAATTGTGGACATGTCGGAATATGCCGAGGAGAAGGATCATCATCAGCGCTGGAACATTGAGCAGATGCTCATCAACCAGCGCGACTTGGTGTGTGCGAATGCCACGTCAGAGCAATTTCGCTGGATCGTGGAAGAATGCCAGCGGCTGGGAGCGGTGGTCTCTGTCATCGGAGGATCCATTCACGACACTTCCGCTTTGACGAGTGGCCGTGTGGGAGTCGCGAGGCTCGGATGCGCCGCCTTATGTGAGTATAGTGCAGATCTCGTTCTGCTGGACGGATCCTTCGCCACCTTGACCAGGGCCATTGCAGAAAGTCGGCGGCTGTACGAGAACTTGAAGAAGGCCTTGGCCTATTGCCTGGCCACCAACACAGTCTGGATAATGAGTTACTTAGCCTTCTATGCCGTCGGGTTTCCCTTGGAGTTTGATATCATTGATATTATCATTGTTGCCTTCTTTGTAAACCTAGTGAGTTGGCTTGCTGGAATTCTTATCCTCGACTTTAATTAGCTATTTTCTCACAGATTCCTGCCTTGACACTGCTCTATGAGTTTCCAGAGGAGAAACTGATGCTACAGAAGCCCAAGATCTACGATGACTGCCTGCTTAATTGTCGGTAAGCCCACTCTGTCTTGGAGGTGTAGAATCAGATATATCCAAAGAGTTTTCCTTATACTGTAGCCTACTATTTGTGTCTCACATCCTGCTGGGGATCATCGAGACTGCCGCAGTTTTCACTATCTACATAATGTTCATGGTGGATAGAGGATTTAAGCCCCTCAGCCTTGTGGGTTTGAACGTGCAATGGCACGACGATTCGGTCAACGACCTCTCAGACTCCTACGGACAGGAATGGGTGCGAATAAATTACAAATTCTCAGTGACATCCTAAATCCAACAGGGTCTTTGCATCCGAATCTCCCGCAGAGCAGCGCCGAGCGCAGGCAACTGGACTGCCAATTGTCCAGCATTTGCCTAATGGCCATCATTGTGATGCAGTGCACCAGTCTGGTGCTGAACAAGACGGCACGTGCCCACCTGATAGAGCATGGCTTCGACAACTGGCGACTGACTCTGGCGGCCTTGTATTTGATTGTCTTCTGCATCGCGCTGTGTTGGGTGGACTCTGCATGCTGCCTGTACCTGCCGGGAGCCAGAAAGCTGGAGTGGGTCTTTGGCATCCAGTCTTTCCATCTGTGATTGTAACCCCTTAATTTTTCAGTTTTGTTGGCTTCATTTGGGTCATCTGGCCGTTTGTGCCTCTGATGATATTCCTCGAGACCACTCGCAGGTACTTTCTCCGTTTGTTTCCCGACAGTTGGATCGAACGAGCTACCATGTATTAAGATGTTTATATCTGTTTATATAGAAGAGAGAATACAAAGGAGCATACATTTATTTGATTTTATGTGCAAAGTATTGCATTTAAATAAAAAAAGAGTTCATTTATAAAAAGTATCTAATTTATAGGAACATAAATTGTTCATTTACTAGATTACAAATAAATGGGGTGGATCCAGCCATAGAGCTAAACACATTCTTTTAATCACAAAAAATATTTATTCATATAAAATGGAACTGCTAAATATATTATTTAATACCTATATAATATATAGAGTAGTGTTTTAAATAAAATAAATTTAAATTGTCTCTTTAAGATATTAGAATCAACCCACTTGATTTAACAGATTTCGTTTGGACTTATTTCAAGGTTTTGAATGCTCACTCTTCACCCCATTTTATTGCTGTATAATATATTTAATAATTTGTATTTAATTTATTTAGTTAGCTTGCAAGACTTAGTTTTCTTTATAGTTTTAAAATGTTCTCCGAACTTATATGAGATTTGTTTATTTTGTAAACCAACAGAATCCACTTGTTGGCCAAGAATCTTACCTGAACATTAAACCTCTCGCTTTTATGTCCCATCAACTTTTAAGTTTCTTAGCTCAGCTTTTTCTGGTACTGGAAAATAAAGAAAATATAAAACTCTGTTGCTAGACTCTAAAAACTAATAGCTGGAGAAAACAGAAGCTGCAGAGAGTGCATTTCCGGGTAGAATTTTAACGAGGACTCCAAACATAAAGTTAAACATTAAAATGAAACTCTTCTTACATTTTATTTTTAAAATATTGCATTTTATTTGTGAATAGCACGAAGCTGTGGTTGCTGGTGGTGGTGGTGTTTGGCGGTTTTTGTGTGGTTATGGTGGCTTTTTTGCTGAAATTTTTGTCACATTTAAGACTGGGTTTAATTATTTAATTTGCTTCGCATATTTGACATCTACAATTAATGACAATGAGTAGGACTTTTCACGGATTTGCATTCTTTGAACATCAATAATTTTTACTTTAACTTTACGTTTACTCTTGTAAATATTTTTGTTTTGTTTTTGGTTTTGATTAAACTTTCTGTGAACATTTACTGAATAATGCTTGTTATTATTGTATATCGGTTATCGCTATGTATGTACTATGTGGGCTGTGCACAGTCAACGAAGTAACTGGGGGCTAAGGTGAGCTCTCGATCTGAAATCGGAGCAACTGGCTGCTGGAGGGGTCGGGGGAGGAGCTACTGGTAGTCGATCGGATCAAAATTCCTTAGCTTGAAGATTTATCTCTATTCCAATTCCATTTTTATTCGCAGTGAGTTGGAGATTCTAGCTAGACTCAGACCAAAGACCCTTCCCTACCATCCATACATTATCCCTAGGTGCGTGTATATATAATCTGACTCTGAATCTGAATCTGAATCTGTATCTGAATCTGAACCAAAAAATATAACTCTCTAGGCGATCGCTGTTGCTTTCGATGTTCTGAAACTTTCCGTTCTAAAACTGAAACCGAACTATGTATCTATTATCATATCTATCAGCTGTGGCTCTGGATCTGAGGGGACTCAACTTTGGATTAATCAATCTATCAATTTATTAATCAATCAGGCAACGCAAGCTGAAGGCGGTGGGATCTCTCTGATCGGGGTATCTATCTCAACTGTCTCTATATATCCCTCTAATTTTATTCATTTTCGATTTAAGGTTCTAGGTTTAAGGTATTGGGTTTCTTTCCGACTTCCGATATTCGACTTTGTCTTCGTTTTTTTGCTTTTTTTGTGGCTGTTAAAATACTTTAAAATTATTGTATTATCTCATTAATTTAGTAGTTTTGTTTGGTTTAATCTTAAGTTAATATAGATTTAAGTACACACACATATATACATATATATGTATATATATCTGTATATGCTTGTATACGTGTTCGTATGTATTGTATATATATATATATATCTTTAATGGTACTCGTGTTCTTGGGTTTCTGCATTCGCATTCGCATTCGTATTTGTGTGTATATTTAGTTAAAGTAATTTGTTTAAAGTAATTGCGTTTACATTTATTTCTATTGAAGTTGCTCTCTTTAATTTGACACTAATTTTAGGTTTCAATTTGTTTAAAGTTTAAACTCTGTTCCATTAAATCGAACATTTTGTTTGTGTGTTTAATTTTTGCTTAGATTTTCTTTAATTTTTGTTTTATTTTGCATCTGTGGAAATAAAACATCGCATTGCAAATATACGCTCCGTTTATTCTCTGTAAAAAATAAAATCGTGTAGCACGAGCTCGAGATTTCGCTCGGATAAGTTCACAGTTAGTCCCTAAAGATCGGTATATAGCCTTACTAAGTGGAAAGTACGCCTCAACTACACACAAACACGTGTCGTCGTCGTCTAGTAAAACTTGGTAATCTCCTCGAGATTCGCTTTTCCTTGAAGGGTTAGATTGCTGGCCTTAGAGCCGGCATAGGCGGGGCAGGTGGTAATCGGTCAGATTGGTCTATCTGGGCAGCCTCAGGTGGAGCAGGTCACTGGGTTAGACGCCCTGGGCCAGGCTCTCCTTCGGCAGCGCCAGGATCGGCTGCTCCACGCCCTGGTGCGGAATGATGAACGGCGAGGTCAGCATCTGCAAGGGTCTGCAACGGAAAGCAATGAGTGCCTGGTTCCCTGTGCTCTCGCATCTCTCGGAGAACAGGGGGATTCTGTGGGTCAACGGCAACTCACTCAGCGAAACTGGCTGCGGTGACCATCGGCTGGCGGACCGAGTGCAAAGCCTGCGAGTTCTTGGCCCTGGCCAGCAGACTCATCACCGTCCGCTTGGTGGGATTCATTCCGGAGCGGGGAACCCCCAACAGCGGTCGCTTCCTGCCCAGGCCGCCACCTGTGGCACAAAGAGAGATAGGGTAGAATCAAAATTAAAATCTCTTAAATCGTAATTAAGCAGGAAAGTAGAAAATTGCTAGCATTTTGTGACTCCACAGACTGGCTTGGCATGACTTTGTGCCCATGCACTGACCGTGATTAGCCGTCACTGGAACCACGGCTTCAGCTCCACTCCACCATCCACTTCTCCACTCACCTATGTTGATGGTCTTGACGTTGCGCAGCGCAGGATGCAGGAGGGCGGCACCCGGTGGCTCCAGAAGCGTCAGCGCGGATGCGGCTGCCTCCCCATCGCCGGACAACTGCAACGCACTGGCACTCGCCTGGTTGGTGGGCAGGCCGGCCATGGTGGCCCCCACTCCGGTGGCCGGCTTCAGGAGTCCTCCGATTCCAGCAGCTGTCAGCTGATGCTGCAGTGCCACTGCCATGGCTGTGGTGTGCACTGTGGATGGATTGATGCCGGACAAAAAAGGTAAAGAGGTGAGAGGCGGTGAGTGGCAGCAAGAGGATTGCATTGAACAATGGAAGAGTGGGACATGAGCTCCAGACCAAGTAACACAATGCCTTTTTAGATTAATTATCCCCTCGGTATCGAGATTATATTGATTATAGTGGTTGAATTTGGCCAGGGGTTTAAATGGGAAATCTTTGGAAGTCATAGAAAACTATTCATATTTTCGAAGGATTAAAGTGAATAAACAACATTTCCAGTTCCTAATTTTGTTCTAGTTTTATGAAAATCGGAATACTATATATGTAATATAACTGTCAGAGAAACGATTGTTAAATGTATTTAACTATGAGCAGTAAGTATCTATGACCACTAAGTATGTATGATTAGTTACTAACTTTGAACACAAATAAACAATGACTTGCACTTCTTGTAACACAACACATTTCTGAGACTTGGCCAGCAGCAGTCACTTCGTTCCGGGGATGTTAGAACCAGTTGGGAATCATATCTGCAGATGTGGGAGATTTGTTTTGGAACAAATTAAAGAGCAAGCTATGTGAATGAAACTTTGCAGTTGATCTTCCATATAGTTTTACAAGTTTATAAATCGGAGCATGCCAAATCGGTGGACTATATATATACATATATATAGCTGACATAGGAACAATCGGACGATTTATGGAACTATGATCAGTAAGTAACTATGACCAGTAATTAACTATGATCAGTAAGTCTCTATGAACATTAAGTAACTCTGAACAGTAAGTATCTATGACGAGTAATTATCTTTGACCAGTAAGTATGCATGATCAGTTACTAACTTTGAACACAAATAAACAATGACTTGCACTTTTTGTAACACAACACATTTCTGAGACTTGGCCAGCGGCAGTCACTTCGTTCCGGGAATGTTAGAACCAGTTGGGAATCATATCTACAGATGTGGGAGATTTGTTTTGGAACAAATTTAAGAGCAAGCTATGTGAATAAAACTTTGCAGTTGATCTTCCATATAGTTTTACAAGTTTATAAATCGGAGCATGCCAAATCGGTGGACTATATATATAGATACATATATATAGCTGACATAGGAACAATCCGGAGGATTTATATAGCTATGATCAGTACTTAACTATGAGCAGTAAGTAACTATGATCAATAAGTAGCTATGAGTAAGTATATATGAGCTGTAAGTAACTCTGAACAGTAAGTATCTTCGACTAGTAAGTATTTATGATCAGTTACTAACTTTGAACACTAATAAACAATGACTTGCAACTTTTTTAACACAACACATATCTGAGTCCTGGCTGGTAGAAGTCACTTCGTTCCGGGGATGTTAGAACAAGTTGGGAATCATATGCTCCTATGTGCGAGACTTGTTTTGGAACAGAGAGCAATCTATTTTAATGAAAGTTTTTGTTCTACATAATCTTACTAGTATATAAGTCGGAGCATGGCGAATCGGTGGACTTTATATAGTGGCTTACAGCTTATTTCTGGTGGACTGTACATATGTATACATATATATAGCTGCCATAGGAAAAAAATTATAACTCTTCCAGTTTTCAAAAGATTCTCATCAAATTTGATAAGTAGCCATTATATATTAATCTAGATTTTGGTGAACAATTTTATGAAAATCATATAGCTGTATAGAGAAAATATTCTATAGAGAAAATTACGAAACTGTGAATGTAAAACTGAAAATGTAATATGTAAAGGTGAGTAAAATAAAAGCAGGCATTACTTTATTGTTTTTTAACATAAATATAAATAATTTATATTGCATTAATTCCTAGTGCTCGAATGTGCAAGGTTATATAAACTTCGGCGTGCCGAAGTTAGCTTCCCTTTCTTATTCAAACTTTAAAGTTCTTTTAAACACACAAAAAATCCCCCCTGGGCTAAAGCTGTAATTTTCTTGACTCTCAACTGGAGCTGGATTATGTTCATTGGCCTTTCAGTGGCTGCCGTAACTTCCAATTAATAGTCGAGCTCCCAGCTAAGCCACTGGGCAGCCGAAGGAGTCCACTTACATGCCGCCGCCGTTGCCGGAGTCGCCTGTCCGGAGAGATGCTCCCCGCAGGCTGCCGCCGCCGCTGCACTGGCTCCGCCATGGGCCTGCTGCAGCAGCTGGTGGAAGTGCGCCTGGTGGCCAGCGCCGTGGTGATGCTGCTGATTGTGATGGTGTGCCTGCTGCTGCTGCTGGGCCTGCTGAGGCTGCTGGTGGTGACCATGGGCATGGGCTGGGTGCAGGTGGGCGTGATGCGGATGCTGGTGCGAATGCGGGTGCTCGGAACTGGTGGTGCTGATGCTGGTGATGCCGGCTATGCCCAGGCTAACGCAAGTGGGCGAGCATTCGAGCTTGTCGACAGTGGACAGGCACTCCATGCCGCTGGCGTCGACGTCCGATTTGTCATCGTTGGACGTGTCCATGTCGGCCAGTCCGCCGCCCAGACCACGCCCGCTGCAGCCGCTAGAGGAGGAGGTGGTGGCGCCCGCTCCCTGATTACTGGCATTGATGGTGGGACTCTGGGAATCGTCCAGGGAATGAGCGCCCAGCGTGGGCGTGGACGTGAGAGCCTGCATTTCCCACATTTGCTCCTGGCGGATGTCGTCATGGTAATCCTGCGAGTTAAAAAAGAACAAACGAAGATTTTATATTTTATTATTTAATTGTCCACTTCACAGAGATTTATGGGTTTAATTATAGAAGTAAACAAGGAATCAGTTTTGGATGTATAACCTTTTAAACATTGTATACGTTCTTAATGAAAACATCGAGTACAGAAAGCCTTTGTCTTTGTATAAACATTATATTAAAGTCAATGAAGTAAAATCCTTGAAAAGATAGACTTAAAGGTAGGACACTTCAATGCAACTATCTGAGGACTGGCATTTCCTTTCGGGATTAGTTGTGAACGCAGAGGAACACCTCAATCGAGCAATTAAATTTAATTCACGTTTCTCTGGCCGACGTTGCCGGCGCTTGCAATAAATGCGAATTTTATTGGATGTCAATTAAAAGTTTTGTGCGCAGCCACGTTTCGTGTGTCGTCCGCGGCACACCCCTTTGGGGGTGTGGGTGGGGGTGTGGGTGGGGGTATCCCCTCCAGGATACACACATTTGGTTTACGGATGGAGGTATATGTATCTGAGTATCTGAGTAGAGAGTGCTTAATGCAATTATGTGGGTGGCACTGAGGTGGGTGTGGGTGTGCGTATGTGATGCGATAGATACACGCAGGAGTACGTATACAGGAAATGCCAGGCCGGTGGATACACATTTCACCAACCCCATTAACCAACTAACTCGTTTATGAATATCTCTGAATTTGCAACTGAATCGCACACAGCACATGTATCTATTTCCTTAGATTTTACTACCCGAGGAACTGTCGCAAGGGGCGGTGGATTTTTTATGGCACTGTCGCTGGCAAACATAAATCCTGATTGCAAATGCCATAAACAATTTCCCGCCAGGTGGCTCAGGCTTAAATGTGTCACAGATGAGATTTGCAGGGACTGCCAAGCCAAGCCGCACCTCAAAGTAACCCCAGCAATTTATCTAAATTGAAACAGTCTCTGCTTTCTGCACCTCCGTATCTTCTTCCCCTATGCTCGAGATATCAAATAATTTCTATGCAAATTTTCGTCGTGTGTAATCAGATCGGAATAACTCAGAGGGAGGAGAGGGTCTAAAGCTCGTCCAGGAGACAGTTTTCATGTTGCCAACAGCTGCCAGTCAAGGGTCGACCAGGATGTCAATATATTAGATTACACCCGGGGCCCCAACTTGGCATCATTCCCTCTCTCCGTTTGCATCTGACAGATGCGAGGGGAGATACAGGCTTCAAAACAATGCCTCATCACGTTGGGAGGTGAGAATTGAATTTTGTGGCGAATTATACATAGATCAAAGTGAAGTCTTAAAGCATAATTTGCAATAAGCAGGATACATTGTGCTCATTTATAATTCCGAGTATCTCACGGATGTGCGGGTGCTGCAACTGGGCTACGAAGTGTCCCAGATAGATGCCCTGGCATTCCTTTTAAATTGTTCCATGTCCATTCCCCACAATTCTGCTTGCATCTTAAAGGAGATGTATAAATAAAGTATGCCGGCGCCGGGCAAGTGAGGATGATGCCCAGGACGTGCCGTGCCGTGCCGTGCGGTGGTCCTTCTCTGTATTACGGAATCCCCACATCCCGGTCTGTTGGCTGCAGATAGTAAACGGTTAACATTTGTGTCTCAAGTGGAGGAGCGAGCTCCAAAAGGCAAGTTTGAGGGGGAATAACCAAGTTCCCCTCACACACGATGGCTCCGCAAGATGGCGATGGCGATGGCGGTGGCAATGGCGTGTCGAGCGCCACACAATGGACAGAGGAAGATGCCAGCCAAGCTTCCAAGCCAAGAGGAAGTGGCAAAAAGGGAGTGCCACAGCCAGAGCCAGAGGAGTGGGCGTGGCACTGTCGAGTGCAAGTGGGGTATGGCATGGTGGCAAATGTAATTACAGCACAATGCAATTTAGTCAGCGAGCGCGGCGAGCAGGAAACCCGCCGCTGCATGCCACGCGAACACGGGGCAACACGGAAGCTGAAGTCGATAACGAGCACAACCTTGGAGTAGTACAAGTCCGCAGTGTTCCAGGACTCCAGGACTCCACCTACACTTACCAAACAGTTTTCCCATGACTTTCGCAAATTCGCCTTTAATTAAAGTCGTCAGCGGGTGATGAAAACTTTTGTAAAAAAAAAAACAACATTCTTTTCGAAAGTTTACGAGAAAATTCTGGTTCTTAAGCATGACTTTGTAGAAAATATATTCTTAGGAAAGCTAACACTTTTGAAATTAAAAACAAAATCTTGTTTTTATAATTAGCTCTAGTTAAGGTTCAAGGGTCTTAAGTTTTGGTAAAGTTCTTTTAGTTTCAGCATTTTGTCAAGAATTTTGTTAAGGAATTTATGAATTTAGGAATGGTAGCAACTTTTCTCAATCAAATTTAAATAGCACTTTGTTTAAAAATTAACAGTTTCTCAAAAAAAATATTATAAACTGTTGTTAAATCTTTTAAAGCAAAAGAGAGATGGATAAAGATTAATTTTATATTATCCTTTTAATTTGTTTTATCATTTAAGGACGTTTTCTTGTTCTTTTTTGTATTTTGATTACTCTAATTAACTTTTTCTTTGATATGCTAATTAGAAACGTAAACATTTTCATGGATCTTTTCTACAAGTGCACTTCTTGCTGCCATAACTTTAAGCTCCATGTCTTGGCAAACTTTAAGATGCTCATTTGCCTGCTGGCCATGGAGCTATGGCCGAAAACTTGAATCATTAATGGGTATTAAACACAAACAATGCCGAACGAAAAAGGGCCACGCCAAGTCTTGTGTCCCATGTCTCCTCCCAAAGTCCCACAAAGGACGACTCACCGGAACCAGGAATCGTCGCACTTCCGCCAGCGCATAGGCAATCCGGGCATGGGCCTCCGCCGGAGCGGCAAAGGTCGAGATCTCCACGTGCAGGTCCTCGAAGAGATGGGCATAACGACTGTCGCCGCTGGCGCGGAGCTCCTCCTCCTTCCGCCGGTCCCGCATCGAGCCGCGTCCCAGCACGGCCATCTTGCACATTGTGTCCTCCTGCAGCCGCTTCATCGAGTTGCCCTTGGGTCCCAGCAGCTTTCCCACGAAATTGAACTGTGTCGCGGCCGGACAAAGGGAAATGCAATGAAAATGTTTCTCCACCTTTTCCGTTTTCCACGGTTTTGCGAGTTTTCCACTTACCTTGGGGTGATCTCGCACCGGCACCGCCACTTTGACGGCCACCTTCACGGGCTTGTCGCGTGTGATGTCCAGCATTTTGAGTTTCTCTGCGGGAAGGCAAACAGGGAAATGCATTCGACTTAATGGGCGTGTAATTAAACGTGTAATTTAACTTTATGGTGGGTAAGTTGCAGGGTCAAAGGGGTTAAGAAATTGAGCAATTTAATAGCCGAGTTTCTCTTACAAAAGCCTTTTGCCTGCTTCGAGTGCCTTGCAAATAATATATAAAATGTAAGCAATAACAAATGGTAGTTAGACTTTTCACATAAAAGAAATAATTACATTTTCCTTTTTACCTTAATGCTCAAACGTGTAATTTAATACAAAGCTGAGTGAGAGCGGTAACTTAAATAAACCAAGAATATCCATTGTATACAGTATATGTTTTATTGAAAATAAAAGGCAGTAGAGCGTAAACATGTTTGTAAATAAATGTGTTTTTCAAGGGTAACTGGAATTATGTTATGTTATTTTGGAATCACGTTTATTACATTTTCATGATTTAAAGTGGCAGGTAAAGGTTACTAAGAGAAATATAAAACAGCAAATTTGATATCCCGATCTTAAAATACATCGTTTTTGTTAAACCACATACAAATATATCAATTTGACTCAATTAAACGATAATTAGGTCAAGATATTAAAGCTGCAAAATGTTACAGAGCTTAAACAATAATTGTGGGAAAATAAATGACTAAAAGAATAATTAGTAAATATTAAAGTAAAAGTAAATGTACCTCATTCGAAATGAATAAATTTATAAATTTACATGTTGAATTAAGCCTGAGCTTGTATAACAATATTTTAAGGAGATCACACCTTTGTGAATATTGTTTTTCAAATTAAGAGATATACATACATACATGTTTGTGGGATAAGTTTTTCATATTGAATGTCAAATCCCATTTGATAATAAATGAAATATTTTCCATTTGAATTTAAATTTCATGAATTAAATGAAACAATTTCCCAAATTTATATACTTTTTGGTGAGAACTAAGACCCTTTTCGTTTTCTCCTTATCCTTGTTGAAATAAATGTATTTAATGTTGCAATTCAAGCACTGAAATTGTGTGAAACTCCTCAACGTTGCCTCCATTCATTTCCTGAACGTTATTAGGTGAATAAAACTATATATACATATATACCTCACTCTAGCCCCACACTCCAGTGTTCTCTGCGTCAGCTGCCCTCATAAGTATGCTACTGTTGGCGAGTTCATCGGATTATCTCGAGCTGACTTGTGTCACCTACTCACAGGCACACACACACCCACATACAGAGATCCTGCATCCTTTGCACATTCGCACCTCACCGTAAATTGTATCTGGTATCTTGGTATCTTATATCTTATATCTGTATCTTTAGCTGCCCGCAGCAGACGCAGCGACGTTTTGTAAACATTTGGTGGAGCCTTAAAGACAGCTATGGATGCGACTGAGGTGAGTCCTTCTCCTGCACACCTGCCTTTCCCTTTCCCTCTCTCTCTCAGTTTCAGCTGTTTGTAACTAATTAAGCAAAATGCTTTTGCACACACACACAAACAAATACACACACCGAAAAAAGGGGCAGCGGGTAAGTGAGGGGGACAGCTGCATAAATCTGTTGACAGGCCCAAACATGAAAACATTTTTGTTTGCTCTTCAGCTCAGGCTCAAGTCTTGGCAAGGACTCACGGGGACACAAACACAAACAGGAGGCGAAAGCGAGAAAGACACACACCATCTCACACCTTGAGACACACCCACATGCACAGACACAAACGCAGGCACACACGCAGAGACATCGTCACTCATTAGCAGGCGAAATGGCTTTCTTAACACCTTTTGTCGTTGCCTTTTGCATGGAATGCAACATTTGCATGCACCTGAGGCTGACATCCTGGCTTTTTTCAAGCTTAAAAAATAACTGCTCAATTGGGTAACATAATAATTAATAAATAAATAATGAAGAATAAATTTGTATATTCAATATACAAGGCTTTAACATGACTCTATTATAACCACAAGGACTTATTGAAACAATTGCAATGGCCCCCGGGTATTTGTTTTCATTTACAAGAATCCTATTTACTTTTTTGTCAACTGCAGGACACCACTGGCATCCCCGTCTGGGGTAGCTGCCCCACCTGTCTTCCACCTGTTTACCACCTGTAAGTCCCATCCCGACCCGCTCCTTGCAGTTGGCCCTTTGCTACTGTCTCCACGGCAGTGCCTTGTCAGTGGCAGGCAACATGCATAAGTAGCTGGCAGTTGTCAGCAAAGAGCACTCTGATGGACCCTATCCAACCAGGTGAGAGGTAAGTGAGTGAGTGAGTGAGTAAAGGAGAGACACAGGTGCTATTTCGGGAAGTAGGTGAAAGCGCCAGATCTGTGTTAATTGTTTGGCATTGGTGCCGCCATAATATTTATGCTAGCTCAAAAGGGAAAACAGATATCTGCCCCTGGGAATAGAATTCATCCTGCTGCTTGATTAATTACGCTCATCAGAGGACGGGCGGAGCTAGGCTGCCTAAAAGGATATCCGTGTTAAAGCTCTGGCCGCTTGTCCCACAGAAATTAGATTAATTTCCATTTCATTCAACATTGTTTGTACTGATTATTCGAGGGGAAAAGCCAGAGTCAGAGTCAGAGACAGAGCCAGAAAATGTTGTTGTCTTGTTGTTTTTCCCTCGGCCCGTTGACTTTTCAATTAGCGCCGTTTCAACAGCAATTACATTCGCCTGAAATAACTTTTTACTTTAATAAATTTCCAGCGTGGCGAAATGCCTTCGCTTTTATTTGAAATAATCTATGCATATTTGTTTTAATTAAACGATATTTTCACAATTGTCGTTGATGCGGTCCATTGTGGATCGAGTTCGTTCGTTTCGTTCGTTTCGTAAAAATAACCTTACCCATCTTGCATTTAAAGCGTCATTAATTGGTCTTTTACACAATGATTATGCAAATTTATTGATTTACCTCCGTCGCTCGAAAAAGCAATAATAATAATAAGTGATAATAATTATTTTTCGGTCACACACAGCAGCCCTCTTCTCTTTTCTCTTTGACAATAATTATACCAGCATGGAGCTGGAACTTTCTGTTCACTTTTAGCCCGGTTCAATTTGGCAACGATTCAGTTGTGGACTCTGGTTTTGGGCCAGAAGGTGCGAGCGAATTTGGCCAGCGCCGCCTAATCTCCACTAATTTATGGCCAGCACGGCCATTAACGTAATTAGGTATGCATTTCAGGCCACCTGGATTTCCGCACCTCCACTTCTCTGCTTTTTCCCCCTCATCAGGCGAGCTGTTGCAGCGGAGTCCTGGCAGCAGAATCCTGGCAACGAACCAAGTTCTGAATGGGGAAGCACTTAGCTAAACAGTTGATGGTGTAAATCAGATTTAAATATCAACCGGCCGCAGCCACAGGACATGGGACATGGGACACGGACTTTAGCAACTGACATTTCCTTCCTCTTTTGCTTTGGTTTTTCCTGGGATTCCTTGGCATTTCCTTCAGCTTCCTGCCTTCTCTTTCCCGCGGGGCAGGTTGCTAAACATTTGCCCAGTCACTGCAATTGTTTCCGTTGCCACTTTTTGTTGCCGCTTTCTCTCTGTCTGTGTGTGTTGGTGTGTTGTTTGCCAATGGCCGATGCCAGTTGCCATATTTTCCGTATTTTCCTTTTGCGCGCCGCCTTCGTTTGGCCTTTCCGGGTCATTTGCTCGTCCGGAAAAGCGGAAAACACTGTCCTGGCTGGCTGCTGCTGCTGCTGCTACTGCCTTTGCCTACTCTGGACTTTGGACTGTGGACTTTTCTTTAGTCGCCGCCTTGGGGGCAGGCACTTGAGCCAGCAGCCTCGACCCCCGCACTGAGCTGGAAAATGCCTGGAAAAACCCTCTTCAGAGCGATGACGCTGTCTTGGGCATGATATATAACCCTTTTATTTTCCCCCAGCCCCCTGGCACCTGCCTGCACAGAGAAAAACAAATTTCGACAATATCGCCGGTGTCACCGAATGTCTGTGACAGAAGTCTGCGGAGATTTGGAAACAAAAGTTTTCGGAGCTTTCGCAAGTTTGACACAAAATATACTTATTATATATCTTGGCTGCTACTTTACACTGTCTCGGGGTTTCTCCACAATTCTCTAGCGATTAACAAAGGAGAAAAGGATGAACGGAAGCACGTGGAGGAGACGTGATTGTTTTGTAGTTGAGATTGGAGGTTTAGGGTAAATAATGTAGCTAAGGTATTTCTGACTACCTTGATATTTGAAATATTGTCGAATTTAAATGTTAATGTTACTTTTAAACAATAATATTAAAATCCTTATTTAATAACATTATACAAGGACTCCAAGTGATAAAATCTAAGCCCAAGTCAGTCAGTAAACAGAAGATTAAAATTATTTCTAGTCGACCAAATTCATGAAATGTGAATTTCTGTGTACCCATAAATCATAAATGAAATAATGCAAATTTAATTTAAATAAATTTATGCATACGTTTAAAAATGAATAACAACCACTGCATAACATTTCAAGCTCTAATGACATCATCAATTATTTCTACAAACACTCTTCGATTATGAATACACTTTAAAGCTTATGTAGATATATATTTTTCACTGTGTGGCCTCGGGCAAAGGTCACGTGGGAGTCAAGTGTATGAATGTATATGCGCAAATTATTCAATTTCAAAGTGAAGAGATTTGCCTTTTCCCCAACCACTTCCTATCCTATCTTGTTTCCTCTCTCTCCCCGAATCAAGACTGACCGGTGGCCATTTCAATATGGCCCAAAGCGGCTGCCAGTTTAATCAACATTTTGTCAGTGTTAATGTCCTTGGCAATTTCTCGGCTCGTGGCCGAACCATTGATGGTCCATTTAAGCGATTTTCGACAGGACACCAACGATGATACCTCCCTCCCACACTCCGCCTGGGGGTTTAACATTTCCCTGGGGACGGATTACCACGGAATGCGTCTCGTTAGCCGAAACAAAAGTAAAAATAATCATAAAAAAAGAGAAACAACCGAAAAAAACCAGAAACAACTCAACTTTTGCCCAGAAGCTTACATGTCACAGGGGGTGATGGAGTGGGTTTTTCTGGGAGGTCCTGAGGATCCTGGGGATGCCAAGGATGCTGGTATGAGATGGTCTAAACATCCGCCTGCTTTTCCCTGCTCTCGCCCTGCTTGTTTATTATATCCCCTTTTTATGCTCATTTCTCGTCTCTCCCCGGCGACAATCTGTAATCCAATGTTGGCATTCTTTTTTTTTGGCTTTTTTGTTTTTTAAAATTTCCAGTATTGCTCGGATTAGATTCAAAGGCAAAGGCAAGGCAGCTACAAAAGTCAGCTTTGATGGATATATCCCAACGCTTTCGCATTTGGATTCCTCCCCTTATTTTGATTTCATTGTATTTCTTTGTATGAGCACAGGAGCCTTTAAAGCTAAGCTGTTTCCCAGAGTTTAGAGTAGAGCTGAGTTCAAATGAAAGGCAAAGACGACAAATAGTTTTGTTTTCGCACATGACGTAATCGACTGCTGTGTGTTTATGATTAAATTTTTTCCCCCCAGGCTCTAGAAATGTATGTGTTTGTTAGCTGTTCTTTTTGCCGCTGCTATCGGTATCAGCCAGTGTGACGACGACAGTTTTTACGACGAATGCCAGGATGCCCGCTCGCTTTTATGTCCTTCCTTAACTTTTGCGTAAACAAGTCGAAAGTCGAAAAGGTGGAATAGCTGGGGAAAAAAATTCACAGTTTTCCCGCACCCTTGGAGCAAGGGGTTTTCTAAATGCCCTCCGAGCAAATACACATGGAGGAAGGTGGTCTGATCTGGTCGGGTCTGGTCTGTCCTGTGTGGGTAGGATAGGACTAGGACTAAGCATAGGAATGGGAAAGAGGACTGACATCCCGAATAGGTTGGTTAAACAGAACCTTGGTGGTGGCTTCTTCTTCGTTTGCTCTGTGCTCCGTTTGGCTTTTCCACGCTCCAGATTCAATTCGGACTTAACCGGGGATAAACTCTGCCTTTCGGAACTATAAGACAGTTAAAGGGAGAGGAGAAGGTTGGTGCAAAGAAAGGATATACTCGTAAAAGAAAAAGATTCAATCACTTTCTATCGAAACTTTGAATCGGTAGATAATCACAAACTATTTGAATGTCGTTCCTTGGGAATTCAACATAACATTTTATTTTTATTGATATTTGAACGGATAAATATCGGAAGTGCTACAGATTTTAAATACTTTTGAAAAAGTATCTGTAACCATATTATAAAATGTAATGTTAAAATGTAAAAAAAGATTTCAATAACCCCGTGATCATAAGTATAATTAAAAGAAATCTTTACTTTTTCCTTTTTTAAATAAGAAAATAAATGAAAGACAATCATTGCTTTCAAAATAAAAGTAATCTACCATTTAAGTTAACATATGTACCAATTTACCTAGGAGAATTTATGTAACTATTATTCACTTAACAGAAACTTTAGACACAATATAGTACAAAATATAACTATTTCCCTGGAAAATCCCCCCCCTGAGTTGAGCTGTGGCTTTTTTGGTTAGGTTAACACTTTGTCAGTATAGAATCAACCCTTCTTTGGATATCCTAAACCGTCTCAAGCAGTTTTGTGTCATCAACTGGCAGAAAACTCCCGGCAATTATATAATCCACATACCTGAACCTTTCAGGGACCTTTCCTCGAGCGCACTTAAGCCAGCTTTAGCCTCCATCCTTTGTTGCTTTTGTTGCGGTTGACTGCAAAGTGAAAGAATGTGAATAATCTATATGAGCATGTAATAATAGTTTGAGGCCAAAGGGATTTCGTCCCTTTCAAGTTTTCAGCTAAGCCAGTGTCCCACACCCCCCCCCCCCATTTTGAACAGGAGCCACCCTCCTTGAATCCTATCCCTTCCTGCGAAGGCCCCCCGATCGGAGGCCGCCCATCAGCCAACATCTTGCGGTAAGCTCGTGTAAAAAGCTTAAGGGAAACTTTGTAAAAATTTTTATCATAATGCAGCTGACAAAAACGCCCCAACATTGTAAATACTTATGAAAGTTGCGAGCTGCGGGACGTGAGAAGGGGAAGGGGGAAAGAATTTTCCCTCAAATCTGTTGATAAGTTCCATAATGAAATAAGCCAAGAGCCAAAGTTGACTAAGGCAGCAATTTTTCCGCATATCCCCGAAGACAATCGAAAGTTTGCCAACCCCGTGGAATGAACTTTTGTGCGAATCTTTATGAATATTGATTGCGACAGCGGTGATCTCTGGCCCTTTTGTATCTTTATTTGCGGATTGAGTTTCAGTCGAAGCTTCCACGGATGTCAAAGATGAACACTCATCCTTCTCCACATTTATCCACATTGGCGAAAGCCAAACATTGGCCCCATTTCGAGTGTCATGTGTCGAGTATCGTTTTCCCCTTCTGGCTCAGTCAGTAGTAAATATTGCCGACACTGCATTCAAAAACAAACTAAACTCGGATGAGTATCTTTCCAGGGACAGAGATGGGCACTTGTGTGACAGTTGGAGCGTAAGTGGTGACCCCGATCCTTTGTGCTTCGGGGGTTATAATTGGCCAGCACGGCCCATTAAATCACGGAGAGAGCATCAGAGCATCAGGGCAGGGCGCCCCATTCAGGATCTCCGTCTGGGCATGAAATCATAAAACCTGAAAGAGTCGTATAATTTTCAGTGCCATAAAACACTCAGTCACGCTGCTTAATTGCCCCTCAAGATGATTTGAACTATTTGTCTCGCTTTTCGGGAATTAAAGCCGAGTCTAGAGTCTCGAGTCCTGAGTCCTGAATCCCTCGCACCTGGCCAGAAATTGATGGATGCCCCGATAACGACTTGGCGGAAGTGGGTTAAAGTTCTTAAAATTAATGACGACGCTCAGGGCGTCCCAAAAATCCAAAACTCTGCCAATGTTTGCCTTTGTCTTTGCCTTAGACCAAGTCCCTGCTGTTGTTGTTGCTGTTGCTTTTGTTGTTTTGGTTTTCCCGGGCTTCTGGCTGTTCAGTTTCCCCGCTTTTCGCCACTAAGTTTGACGGATTTGTGCGCAGTTTCAGATTAATGCTGCGATTATTGTTTACCGTTGGAATTACGCACAGTGGGGTCGAAAAAGCTTTGTTTATGTTCGCAAAGTAAATGTTTTCGATAAAGCTTAAGATATTATTTTGGTTACTAATGTGTGTTGAATGTTTAAATTTTAACTGAAAATGCATTGCATATTACGCCAGAATTGATTGGAAACTGAACTATATCTTAACTAATCTTTAAGTTGTTTTGGTTATAGATATTAATAGTCTTTCCGCCTCTTTTTCTTTATAGTGTTTAATTTAACCGCTTAGGCTTAAAAATTTATATAAATTGAGACTGAAACATAGATAGACTATATACTATAGAAAGACTATATAGATCAAAACCATTTTGTCAGAAGACAAGTACAGCAATGGTTATATAGAAAACGGGCTTCGATTTAACTTCAAAAACTCCTCAGTATATTTCTTGGATTTCAACAATTGTATATAGTATATGTGCATAATTTATTACTTTTACTATTTATAATGCCTTTCCAGAGAATCCCCTTAGTGTTCCTTGAGAACCTAGGTATTATAAATTCCCTTGCCACATTTTAGTAACTCTTCAACGTTTCAACTCAAACAGAGTCTTAAACATAAGTTAGTTTAAGAAATCACTCTTACTTTGGCATATATATAATACATAAGCTTCTAGGAACTCTATGTGCTCGCTTCTCAGCTTTCAAGCAGTCACGTATACCTTCTCTATATTTTTAACCTAATTTCAGAATGCCCGCCCAGCTTATGCCACTGTGCACTGTGCGACTGCCTTGTGTTTCTTATGCAAAATTTAACCCAGTGTAGAGTAGGTCGGTTCACTCAGTCAGTGTAGTCGGCGGGTTGATGGGTCGTCGGAATGAAGGGTAGCTGGGCTCTGGATGGGTCTGCTGGGCTGGGTTGGGTTGGGTTGGTCGCTTGGCTGGTTTGCCTTTATTCCTTGCCGCTCCTCGAGCGCTCCTCGCCTTGTCTTTGTATAGCTCGGCACGCACGATTTAAGGATAACGAGGATGGAATGCAGGAAGCGAGGCAAATATTTACACAGTTGGATGATTTAGATAAAGAAGACATGAACATGAACCATAAAGCGAACGCAGAAGGCGACAGTGGCTGGAAAGGAGCGAGGAGCGCGGAACGAGGCGGAGACATCGGGAGGACAGGGAATAAACCCGGGGACATTATGGAAACTGGGACGGACATTATAAGGGGATAAAGAAATTTGAATACAATGAAGGGGATTTTGGCGATAGTCGTGATTGCCGAGCGCGGCACTTCATGAAACATGAAATTGTAATCCAAATTAATGGCGTTATCCTGCAGGAAGTTCCGCTTTGCAACCCAGCCCCCTTCTATTTTCCTCAAATTAATACGTCTTCAATCTCCCCTCCCCGAAGGCCAATTGTCTGGCAATCGAAGACAATTACATTGCCAAACAGGCTGCCTTTGATTTAAAGTCCGATATGTGGCATATTTTACCTGCTTTTTGGTATGCAGAGCAAGGCTCCACCTGGATAATTTATTCAAGCGAATATTGCAGTCACAGTCAACATAAAAAACGTGGAAAATAAAAACCAAATGGAAATGCAAATACATACAACACAAACAAGCTGCCACACACACACACACACACACACAGGGTGAGAGAGGAAGAAAGTGTGTGTGTTTCTGCATTTCAACACCACCCCTCTAGTGGGGATGATGGGTGGCTTTCTCCCTTTATAGCATATATCCTGGCCCTGCTCGCATCCTGCAGCTCATCCTGCGAAATGGGCCCACTTGAATTCTGTATCTGCATTTTCCACAGCTACGTGTCAAATCCGTCTAAAAGCCGAAGGGCCCAGATCTGCATGTAAATGAATGTATAACATATTTCAGCAGATTCGCACAACATTTGAATTATTTGGGCATTGTGTCAACATTCCGGCTTTCATAAATCCCAAACCCGTTCCGGATCCCGTGCCATCCTGTGGATGCAGGATCTCGAACCAAGTGCAGGCATCGAACCTTTCATCTTCTTTATAGAAAGATGAATCCATCTTTCTATAAACCCCTTTTCTTGTCTTGTGTATTTGCTTCCCCTGAATTTATTTGACCAGTTGGTCAATATGAAAATGCGAAAATGAAATATTCAAAATGCCTCAAAGCCAGGGAACAGCGGGGTACCAGCCCCAAATCAAGTTCCAACCCAATCTCAATCCATCTATCCACCATTTCCACCCCCTTTGACGTGTTTGCCTCCTAAATACTAGAGGAACTCCTGACCGGAAATTGTTTCACAAGCGTTGGCCAATTAATTTCAAAAAATAATGGAACCATTTTTTTCCCCTTTTTTTCAGCGGGAAAGGATACACTGTTGTTGCTTGGGGGAAAAAATAGTGAAACCAGAAATTGTTTCATGCTGCTGTATACATTGTATCAGATCGTTTGAGGCGCTCTATATTCAATACAAGCAATATGGAAATATGCGTTTTGAGTTATTGAAAAAAATATATTGGTTTGTGAAAAAATTGAAACAATAAATCAGCTTTCGGGCATATATTTTTACGTATATTTTTGTATTCAGCAATAAGGTGAACGCATCTTCCCATGGTTCATCTCAACCATAAAGTATTTACAAATAAATGGTCTATTAAAAATGTCTTATAACTTATGACTTGAGCAATTAAGATAGTTTTAGTTAGTTTTATTTTGAACCTGGTAAATATTTTAAGCGAATGCAAAGGAAATAGGAAAAAAGGTTGGTTAAATATTTTTATAAAATATACGGTTGTTCAATGTAGAGGATCAGTAAGTATCTTTCAACAGTAGGGAACTAGAAGCAGTAAGTATGATCTGCAAGTATCTATGACCAGTAAATTATCTATGAACATTAAGTAACTATGATCAGTAATTAACTATGAGCAGTAAGTAGCTTTGAACAATAAGTATCTATGACCAGTAAGTATTGATGTTTGATCAGTTACTAACTTTGAACACTAATAAACAATGACTTGCAACTTTTGTAACACAACACATGTCTGAGACTTGTCCGGAAGAAGTCACTTCGTTCCGGAGATGTTAGAACTAGCTGGGAATTATATGCATCATATGTGCTAGATTAATTTTCGAACAAATTTAAGAGCAAGCTATTTGAATGAAACTATGTATTTATTCTTCTATATAATATTACTAGTATACAAGTCGGAAGATGAGGAATCGGTGGACTATATATATGTACATATATAGAGCTGCCATTGGAACGGGCGGAAAAATTGAAAAAACAAAAATTATAACTCTTTCAGTTTTCAAAAGATTTTCATCAAATTTAAAATATATACATTATATATTTTGTGCTAAATTTGATGAAAATCGGACTACTATATCATAAAGAGTTTTGCATTTTCGATCGTTAAAAAAGAGGAAAATGCAAAACTGTGAATGGAAAATGTAAATATAAATAGTATAGGTAAATGAAATGAAAGCAGGCATTACTTTATTGGTTTTTAACATACAAATTTTTAATTTATATTGTATTAATTCCTACTGATCGAATTTCAATCTGCAAGGGTATAAAAACTTCGGCGTGCCGAATTTAGTTTCCTTTCTAGCTTCTTTTAAAATTAATTGGTTGACCTTTTCGTAGACTGTTGACTTTCCAAACTCTGTCTAGTACCTTTTAAAGACCCCTTTCTTCGAGTGCACAAATATATAGAATTGTATTTTCAACTAAAATAACCAAGCATAGCTAGAGAGAGAGGGCGGACTAACTGAGCTGGATAGCCTCGAAGAATTTGTTTATTTAATCGACTGCGGGCAGAGTCAAGCCGAAGCTCAGGCCCAGAGTACCCCCAGCTCCGGTTTCAGTACCAGCTTCGACCTGATTTGATCTGGTGATTGCACAGTCCGGAATGGGCAGAGAGCCATTAAAGTGCCATTGATTAATCGATGTGGTTATCAGAGCCACATAATCGGATATCCCGCTGCGCTGCACACACAAAACACACACGCTGGCACACTGGCAGTGCATTTCAGAAATTGATTTATGCGGCGGGTGTGCATTTTAAATCTGCCAACTTTGGCACGGTCAGTTTCAAACATTAATCATATACACCTAATCTCGAATTCATGGCCTTCTCCCCTTTCTAATGAAGCACAAAAATAGTTATGTCTCCCCGGGTGAGGGAAGGTATCCCAGTTAGCCAAACAAAGTTTTTCGCTTTTAAGCTGGACCTAACCCGGCAAATGAAAACAAATTCATAGACGTGTCCTAAATATAATACAGGGGGACTCCACCAAATATTCAGTACATACACACATTTATATTTATATGTATAATTTAGCCGCAAAAAGTAAAACTTTTCCCTTTATTCTCGTATAAGTTGGCCGCAAAACCCAAAAAAGGCAATGCCAAAGGTCCTTTCGCCCTCGCAGGCATTCCTTCATAAATAATTTTATGATTTCAAATTCCATTTCCCCATTTTCTGCTCGACCATAAGATGGTTTCTCCCAGACTCTACTCTCGGTCTACATCTTAGTTTTGAGGTTGAACCTGCTGAGGTTGAGGTTTAGGTTGAGGTTGAGGTTAAGGTTCAGGTTGAAGTTGAGGTTTTGCTACCGCAGTTACATCCACAGTTTCAGTTCCCAGGCGCATTGACTTAATAAATTAGTGTTCATCAATAATCATCTGTGTAATAATTTATCAGAATTTGTTGTATTTGGCGCAGGTCTTGGCGGAAATCACCAAATAAATGGCTTTCCACTCTATTTCCGCTCCCCACTTTCATTTTGGGCGATGAGAGTGAGATAAATCAAAAGCAATTACATTCATTCATTCTCGTTTATATGACTGCCTTACCCCTCATTCCCACATCCCCCAGAATTCCATTGCCATTCCCATTCCCGTTACCATTCCTTTTTGACCTGCCTCTGGGGGAATTAGCCAGGTCTGTTTTGGACCATCTCGGACACACACATTTTCCCCGCTGGCTATTTGTATTTCTGCTTTGGCAAATATACTGCCATCGAGCCGCATTCCAGGTGAATAATTCAGTTACTTTGCTGAGCCGTAATTAAGTTGTAACAGGTGTGAAACAGCTCCCCCTCTACTCAGACCCAAACACACACATTTCATTTACTGTCGAATGTGGTACGTGAGCCCCAACTTAACCCAATATTTACCTAGTTAAGACGAAATTATGCCCAGATTCTCAACTCAACTCGACTCAACTCAAGTCGACTTGGCTAGACCTTAATCCTGGCTGATGCTGGCGGCACACATTTGTCTCAATTTTCACAGTCACTTCAATTTTCACTTTGCCAAATGACAAATGCCCGCGAGCGCTTATTTCATTGCTTATTCATACGCCGTAAACATTTCGCACGGATCCACGGCGCGCAAATTCATTGGCGCCTGATTAAAGATGCATGCCCAAAGGTGCGGCGCCTTGTTTCGCTTTTAATTTCGGTCTCGCCGCGTCCTGCGGCCCGTACTAGAGCCCAGGGAGATAATGTCATCCGATTTTGGGCTCCCCCCAAAAATACCACAAGGTTCCAACTGGCACTCCGCAGACACCAGGCCACAAAACGACACCGGGAGTCGAGCTCAGCGGAGGCAATGGCGACAACAAACTTTCACTGCTCCAAAAACGGGGAGTCAAGTTGAGCCGAGTGGGAGCTGGGCAGACCGGAGTGGAGTGGAGTCCAAGGGTGGCCGTCGTACAGCACTTGACACAAGATAAACAATTTGTCTCTCTGCGCCGCAAAAAAAGTCGAAATGGGCAGCTTGGCGCCAAACACCTGCAGGTGGTGGTATATATGTAACTCTCTAGCACAAAACCGATCTTCGGGGCAACCGCATTCCGGAGCTGGTGAACCGTTCCGTTAAGAGCCCGACGCGCAACTGATGGGAGCTACTGGCAGCTACTGGTTGTGGCTACACGGGAGTCCTGAATCTAAAAACTGACAACTGTGGATGCTGATTCTGCGCAAGAGCATCTCAGCAGAGAGCATACTGGGAACAGTGTTCCCTCTAGGACGATGCAGGCCAGATGTTATGTCCTGTGTGTTGGCATTTCCGTTATACTTCAAATTGCAGGCTGCTCCTGCTCCTCATAATTACTTACGGCTTTGGCCAGCGATTAGCCAGGAGAATATCTTGGATGATTGTTGATGGTTCAGTCTCGGATGCTCAGATTGTGAGCTGCATTCCAAGCTTTCTTTTGATGATGGTTTGCATTTTTAATATGCTCATTATGGGGAGTTAAAAATTGCTTGGCTACAGCACTTGTTGTAAGGTAGAAGCACTAAGCTTTAAGTATATCAATATAATTTAAATGTTAATAAATTCAAAAAGAAGTGGAAAAGGATCTAAAAAGCATACAAAAGGGTATTTAAACTTTTCCTTTTTCCTTAAAGGATAACTTCAATATGGAAAAGGATCTAAGAAGGTAACAAAGATATCTTCCGCATGAGTCTTAAAAAAATATTAAAATTTTTATTAATATATTAACCTTATACGTTATCCAAAATATATAAATTTATAACACCTTAGAAAATGTAAAAATTAATCTTTCTTTTTATTATTTTAAATCAATCAAGTCTCGGTCCCCGTTTGGGGGGTTTCCCTTATTCCTACGATTTTAGGGTCTTAATCCCATAAAGCAAACTTTGAAAATTGCTTTTAATTCTAAATTAAACAGATACCGCAGCATCTCTCTTTATCCCAACGTAACATTAAGTTCTTATGTATAGTAAGCAAATTCTTTTTTGCCCAAACAATTGCATAACTGGCGAAAAAGAAAGAAACGCTCCAACCACATGCAAGAATCCCATTACGATGGAATCGATCGATCTGCTACCGGAAAATGGGCGGTTTGCATTGTGCTCGGTGGCTGGCGATGGCCTTTAACCGAAGCCGAAGCCAGAACAAATTTACATTCAAGTTTTTCGACAACAAAAAACATGAAGAGAGAGAAATGGTTAAAACGAATGGCACAGAGGAGTAAAGAAGTAACCACTGAAACTGCATATATCTATTGGAGGAACCGTGGCCGCAACCGAGGGTGTTCGTTCCTTGGGCCCACTCCCAAAAATGCATCCTTGTTTATTGTGACCAGAGTGTCCTGCTCCACTGGTACAAACATTCCAAGAGCGCCCGCTGCCAATTTACCCGAATACAAAACGCTTTAGGGCCCTATTTGGATACCGTTCAATGCACCAGGGACTTCTCTACCATGTATGACAAACAAACATAAACATTGTGTGCGAAACGGAGACCCCAAAGTATCGCATCCTTGGTGGTGGCGGAGGCTATATAGGCTATAGAGAAGGATATGTTTGCGTGGCGCACTCTAATTAAAATTTGTGCCGCTGGCCCCGGCCCCAGCCCCAGCCCCAGCTTCGGCAGCAATGCTTGCTAACTGTTTTACGAGGCAACCGCTAACAGAAAAAAGAAAAAAAAATAGGAGGAAAATTTCGTAAAAATTGTACTGAAAAAATGGTAAACCCGAACGGAAACTAAATAATGTCCGAGGGCTTTCGAAAATGTAATAAACTCGTTCCCTCAGGCAATTTGTACTCGTAATGCCCAAGTGAGCCGGAAAAAACAGTTTAGTGAGAAACGATTTAATTAGTGTTATAAAAAATATAATTGATATACTGTGAAAATGGTTTTTTTATTAATATTTTTTATATAAATTTCAGATGGTTTTTTTTAATAATGTGCTCTTGCAGCTCCTTTTATAATATGGATACTGTTTCATTAAAAAGTTAATAAAACGAATTTCCAATTGTCACAGAACATTTAATAAACTGCTAACTTCGAGAAGCTGAAGTGTGGGTACCCTTGCAGTTACCCATTGGATCATAGCTTCGAATGAAAAATCTATCATAACATAGCCAAAGATACATTAATCTAAGAAGATATCAATATTCTTGAGTAATGTATAATTAAGTAGGCTGTTAACTTTGAGTATACGTTTGTTGATATCTTTAAAACAACTTTTTGTATCTCTTTAAATTAAAATTGAGAAATGGCAAGATTTAATTGCGTAGCATAGCATAGCTAGCACGGCCAAGGCCTGATCTTTCCTACTGCATCTATACATAACATATAATATAATATTCATAGTTAAAACTTACCGCAATTGAGAAAACACTGTTATCCTTCTTCGTCATTGCTTAATTCCTTTTAGTGAAGAGTTATATACTTGGTGATTTCAATAAGGCTCAGGTATCATCGAAGTAGGCTTCTTCCTAATTCCATTGATCATTTTTGGGTCGAAGAGTCAATGTCACTATCACTGTCACTCCCACTATCACTAGCACTGAAGATGTAAACACTAGGAAGGCCGCGCAAATACTAAGGCCAGGCAGACGGTAGTGCCTCTATTTATAGTCCCCTAGTGAAGAGAACAGAGAAAGTGAGAGAGGGAGAGAGAGAGAGAGAGAGAGAGAGAGGCTTTATCTCAAATTAAATATAATAAAATAATATGTTAAATATATGTTAAATATAATGTTAAAAATTATAATTTGTTTTTTAAATTTTTTTCGATCGTTCCTATGGCAGCTATATGATATAGTTCTTCGATCCGGCTCGTTCCAACTTACGTATATACCAGTAAAAGTAAATAAAAGACTAACTGCAAAGTTTCACGCACATAGCTTTAAAACTGAGAGACTAGTTTGCGTAGAAACGGACTGACGATTTGTCCGTTGATGCTGATCAAGAATATATATACCTAACATATATGGATATATACTCCCCATCTGCGATGCAAACTTCTAACTAAAATTTTAATACCCTGCGGAGGTATAAAAAGTATATACAACAAATGTTGTGGTGTTTGTTTATATTATTTTAAATAAATAGGCATGTTTTGCTTAAAATTTATTTTGACATCACTGGCTTTGAGTGCATTTGACAATTATTTTAGATTTTATAGAGTTCATATAGTTTTTCAGCAGAAAAAGGTTATTATTATATTAAAACTAGTAAAACTAGTAAAAGAAAGAAAACTATTTAACCAAATATATATACATTGGAAGCCATAAATAGATATTTTTGTTAATATTTATAATAGATAGAATAGCCAGATCGATAGATAAAGAAAAGATGAGCCAGAAGAAGTCAGTTACAAGTCATATTCTCTTGAATGTGGAAACGTATATTTAAGCATGAAAAATATAACTTTACATAGCTCTAAGTAACGTCTATGTCAAATCAATCTGAAAAGCCTTGAAACTCTATATCCATTGAAGTATGTAATGTTACTTTATTACCTGACCTTCTTTAGGCATTAATTTTGCATTGCATGACGTTTAATTGCAGTTAACTGTCGGATGTTCGCCCGGCAATGACATTTGTTTGATGTGTCGGGAACACACACGAAGGAGGAGTACATGGAAAACATGGTCCAGCACAGCAGAGAGTGGGCGAGTTGCCGGGGAGTCAGTGTCCCTGCAAAGTTTTAATTGATTTCCTGGAACCAGGAGATGCCGGGTACAAGCCAGGGACTCCGGAGTCCCGGACTCCCGGACTGTGAGATGGAGAGACACTTTGCCAGGCCAGGCAGAAAATCATAATTCAACAAGCGAATGGGAGCGGAGCAAACATGTCGGCAACAATTTTATGCCCGAGTTGGGTGACTCAGACTCTGAGCTGAGGTCGAGAGTCTGTGGCTCTGCGGCTGCAAAGTCAGTTTGGTTCACTTTTGGCCCGTGTTTCGGCTTAGAAGTTTCCGCTTTCGGGGCCGCCGGAGCAACTAAATGCCAGCCGTAAACTTTGGCTTTAGTGCAGTGCATTCCACTTGCCAAATAAAAGGCTACAAAGTGTTTTGTGTTTGCTCCCAGTGCTGTCCTCCTCCAGTTCCATCCACCAAAAACCAAGGAGATTGTGACAACACACATAAACTTTCGGGAGGCACTCGAGCACAGCCCACTGACATGGCAATGGGTTATGGGATACTGGGATACCGGGATACTGTAGAAATACAGGGTATATAGAAAGGACAGGGGTAGGCACGGACACAGGCATAGGCATCGCCTTCGTCATCGGCATCCAGTTGCAACTGAGGGTAAAGCCAAATGTGCCATTTATAATTTAAGCGGGATTAAAGTTTCGTACAATGGCGCTACTTGCCACAGAACATGCCGCGCTTCGGTAAACTTTTTTTATGCCCCAAAAGGATCTAGGAGCAAGCAGCCTAGAGTTGCCTCCTCGCCTGCAAATTTGACATCCGCGGCACCCCCGAACACAGACATCCCGACATGGCAAAGCGGATTAGGCAAGTGGCCCCAAGACAAGTTCCGTGGAGCGAGGAGGCGAGCCACCGAGCGACGACACTTCCCGAGTTCACTTTCTTCGGAAATTTCCTCAAATTGGGAAGCTCTCGTGAATTGGCGGGAAAACTGTCGAGAGCAGAGCAGCACTCACTCTATTCGCTCGATGGTGTAGTTATATTAACGAGTTAAACTTTAATTAAGTGCACTTGCTTTAAAGCATTGGATGCGTCTTGAATTTTAATGCCTTTTAACGTAGAGGAGTCTAATTGTAATGATGGTTTTATAAGTGACAGGACAGGGATTACTTTGGGTCTTAATTAATGTTTTTTAAATCTATATTTCAATTGGTTTTGCAATCAAGTAACTGTACTAGAAACCAAGGTAATCTGTAGAAAACATAGAAAATAAATGAACTTAATCAAGTTGGGAATCTCTGTTATAATCCTTATAATTATCATTCCTATGTTTATATTTTCTAGGTAATATATTCTTCATATTTCCGTATCCTTATCCTTATCCAGCTCACGTAATTCCCTAAATCGCATTATCGTCGAGATACCCCTGAAATTCTAACACACTTGACACCTCTGGGCAAAAC